TCCAGATGTTTCTCGTCATTTCGTCGGCGCGATACGCAGCGAAGGCTGGGAAGAGGCACGAGACGGTTCGACTGCCTTCTCCGGAGGATGATTCACTCGGTCTGACCCCGCCTCCTTCGTTCTAGAAAAATCGCGGCCTTGCTGGGCCGCCGATGTGGGGTGAGGAGGATCGTCTGCGAAGCCGTGCTTCTGCAGGGAGAGCGCGCGCCCGGGAGCCCTGGATGTTTGCTTTCTTTTTTTTTCTTTTTACCTCGCGGCGTTTCTGCCGCCCGTTGTCGCAAGGATTTGGCGGCGCGCTCTTTTTTTTAGCGCTCGTTCTGTGACACTCGGCCAGATGTCATAGCGCTTCTGGAGCCCGGAACGCCACCCATATTTTCAGGTTATGAGTCCTATAATAGTCAAACAAAGGGCAAAGCGGCCATCCTGATTGACAAAGCGCTAACCGCAGTTGGCTTAGACAATATCCCAGACACCAACATAGAACATGTGATTGTGGAGCTAGTTCTCAGGCAAAAAAAGAAAGGAGAAAAGCGAAGTATCATCATTGTCAACGTATATAGCGCCCCAAAGCAAAAAAACACTGATTTCCATGCCCTCGTCCAAGGTGCCTGCCGATTGGCCCAGGGAAAAGAACTCTTACTGCTCGGAGACTTCAACGCTCTCGACGAACGCTGGGGTTACAACCGTTCGGATGTCAAAGGCAAACAGCTTGCGGCTGCCACTGAAAAATTTCAGCTTGAACTGCTTACGGATCCCGCGTTCCCTACCCGATCGGCAACAGTGTGTGCAGGGACACTTGCCCCGATCTCACCTTCGCCCGTGGCCGTGCAAACTATAACTGGGACAACCTGCAGGAATCCTTGGGCAGCGACCACTTCATTCTCCGCACAAAAGTTACAGAGAGCGCAGCGCGTCGGTCTATTGGAGAAGCACGCATCACAAACTGGGACGCCTTTTGTCGTGAGAGCGAATATTCACTCGACAGCCTCACAAGCCTCACCGACTGGTGCACCCAACTTAAAGATATTCGAGAGCGTTGGACCACCACCATTAACAGAACACCTGCACTGCCGGAAGTGGACGGCCATCTGCTACATCTGTGGGAAGCCCGAAGGAGCCTCATCCGCAGATGGAGGACGCAAAAACATAACCGACGCCTCAAGCTAAGGATCGCCACACTCACCACTCCGGCAGAGCAGTACGCTACAGAACTGGCGCGACTCAATTGGGCCCAGTTTAGCGACTCTCTTCGAGGCTCATTGGACACGGCCCGCACGTGGCACATTTTGCGCGCTTTGATGGACCCCACTCGCACAAAAAAATGAGACGAATAAGTCAGTCATGCGCCTCATACACGCCTTTGAGGGTACTGACGATGAGCTGCTGGATCAAGTCCGGCGAAAATGCTTTGGCGATTTCTACCCACCCGCATCTCAAGCTGCGTATCGTGGACGTGCCAATAACACTCTCGACCGACCAATAACGGTGGACGAAGTTTACGCAGCCATTCGCAGCAGCAATCGCAACACAGCTGCTGGGGCAGACGGAATCACGTACTCCCTTATCAGGAACCTCAACGACAGCGCCGTACAAGAAATCACGGCGTTTTTCAATGATCATTGGCAACGTGGCACGCTTCCTCCTGAATGGAAGCACGCGGAGGTCATAATGATACCGAAGCCGGGCAAAAAACTTCAGATCGAAAACCTCCGACCAATATCCCTCACTTCCTGCCTTGGTAAACTCTTCGAGCGCGTCATCACTAATCGCGTGCAAGATTACCTCGAAGACAATGACCTTTCCCGCACTCAATGTACGGGTTCCGGGCACATCTTTCAACGCAAGATGTACTGCTACAATTAAAAGAAGTCATTGATAACGCCCCCCAGCAAGGAGAAAACATTATCTTGACTTTAGACATTAAGGGCGCATTTGATAGCGTTAGCCACCAGGCCATACTTGAGGGCCTCGAGGCCCTTCATTGTGGGCAGCGCGTCTACAGTTATGTTCACGCCTTCTTGTCGGACCGCACTGCCACAGTCGGTCTCGGCTCCATCCGATCAGATGTTATCAAGGTTCCGAACAAGGGCACCCCGCAGGGCTCAGTGATTTCCCCGCTACTCTTTAATGTAGATATGGTTGGCCTGGCACATGAACTCCACCGCATCGATGGCATCCATCACGCAATGTATGCGGACGATATCACCGTCTGGGCTACGCGGGGGTCCCTTGGAGAAAAAGAATATTATTATTATTATTATTATTATTATTATTTTCAATACTGCCAGTCTCATTCCGAGACCATAGCAGGTGGGCGTACAGATTGTACATGCAGGTGGTACATTAACAGAAATGTAGTGAAATGACAGTCATCACAAAGTACAAGCGCGAAAAATATACAAATTGTTTACATCTGCAAAGACAAAGAAACCATCACCAAAAAGAACACAAATTTTGCATGAAGTGCAGTGGTACACAGGCAAACAAATAGCTAACCTCCAAACACTCCAGTTGACACTTGTACACTCCACTAATACGCTTTCACTGGTAATATAACCTGCAGCAGGCAGCTACATGCGTCGAACAATACGCGCAGGCACGAGGCCTGGCCTGTGCAACAGAAAAATCTGAGCTTCTACGAATTTATCGACGCAAGCTCTCACCATCGACGCAGAACAACCAAGGCTCCCGCCTCCAGGTTGTCCTTGCTGGCAAACAAATCCCAGAGAAATCCACCATTCGAATATTAGGCATGTGGGTACAGTCGAACCGCCATGTGAATCACACACTTTCCCTTCTCCGCACCACTACACTGCAAGTGGCCCGAATGATATCTCGGGTAGCCACTCGTCGCCATGGCATGCTTGAGGAGGACACCCTGAAACTCATACGTAGCCTCGTGATCAGTAGGGTGACATACAGTTTGCCCTACCAACGCCTCACCAAGAGCGAACAGGGCCAAGTAGACGCAATGCTCCGCAAGGCCCACAAAGCGGCACTCAAGCTACCACCGGGTACTCCTTCTAGCAAGCTCCTCGCATTGGGCCTACACAACACCTTTGAAGAACTTTGTGAAGCGCAACTCGCCACACAACTGCAACGGCTCAAGCAAACACCTACAGGCTGTGACCTGCTCCTACGCCTCGGCTACATCAGCCAGTTTCACAACGCAGCTCATCGCAAGCCCATTCCGGACCAACTTCGTGCCACTTATAAGGTCGCTCCCATCCCCCGCAATATGGATCCCCGACTACATCAGGGCCGGAGGGAAGCCAGAGTGGAAGCCCTCGAGCGAACTTATGCACACAAAAACACTACGTACTATGTTGACGCCGCCAACTACGACCATGCAAACAATAAGGCTGTAGCCACAGTCGTGGACCACACACTCACAGAACGTACCAGCGCTTCCGTGCGGTGCCGCAACATCACCGATGCTGAAGAAACTGCCATCGCGCTCGCTCTCGGCTACAGACAACGAAGGCCGCTGACAGTTCTCACGGACTCTCAAGCAGCTTGCCGCAACTACCTACAGGGGCGCATCAGCCAACCCGCTCTCAGCGTCATCATGAGCGTTACAGACACTGGCGAGCATTCCATTACACATCCACTCAGAATTTGGCATCGGATTATATGGACTCCGGGCCACATGGGACTGGAGGGGAATCAGGCAGCGGATAGGGTAGCTCGAGGGTATGCGAGCCGAGCACCTTCCAACTCCGCCCCTGAAGAACTCGTTCCGGTCCCTTGCGACTATTCGGCCATCCTAAACCATTACAGAGGACTTAGGAAAGCTTATTCGCTACCACACCGAACACTAAATAAAGAGTAATCGGTCAGCTGGAGGCAAATTCAAACCGGCACGTTTCCAAATTTGCACATCCTGAGTAAAATGCACCCCTCGGCATACTCTCCTCTCTGCCCATGGTGTTCAGCTAAAGCCACTCTGTACCACGTCACGTGGGAGTGTCAGGACATTACAGCCTTACAACCAATACAAAATCCAACAGCGGAGCGATGGGAGGAGCTGCTGGCCAGCGAGAACCTGGAAGATCAATTGAGTCTGATCAACCGGGCCCGCAGAGCGGCTGCTGCAAGCGGAGCCCTGGACTAAATGAGGGCACCCCCACCGCAAGCCAAGCATGTCCGACTACTCGGAGCTTCTCCGCAGAAAATTTCATGTAATTAAATAAATAAATATGTTTCCACCACCACCTACTCAACCAACTCACTGAGCCGTCCCGCTAAATGTTCTCAGAGAAGTTCGGCTGACGGAGGGGGGGGGTAGGAAAAAATGGGTAGCGATTTAGAGTACCAGGTACTCTACCATGGGAGAGCTTAAAGCCGTCCCGCAGAAAGCAATACGGAGACGCATTACTAGCACTCGACGAGTGCTTCCAAACGTGTGTTCCCAAACATGAGCGGCAAAAACACAAACAATAGTCCAAGTGACTTCTGTAAGTAAATCTACATTATTGCAGTAACCACTGCAAGAAAAGCGTAGTCAATATAATTTTTTGGTTTTTTAACTATCTAAACATCGATCTTTATGCTGAAAACTTGATTTAAAAATTAGCGCAATTAACAAACGTTAATAAAACATGAGTGATCGCAGTGCACTTTTGCGACGACGAGCTGCAGTCGCAACGAGGCGTGTTCTGTGACGAGGCGAGGAAAGGGAGGCAGAACGCGGACAGCAAGTGAGGTGCGGAAGGGGGATATGTTTCAAACTATACTCTAAACGTAAACTAAAACTAAGCCATCTTACTAAATTCTTCTTAACTCTGACGGAGTATAATACCTGCTGTATTACTTAGGAGTGAGAGGCCCTTCTTTCACGTTTCCGCTTTTCTTTTATCACAACATGGTTACGCAAAAGCGCAAACCTGCGTACTGTGAAAAAAGAAGAAACTATTAAATGCTATGTACGGAGAGATACCAAGCAAGGTAAATTGGTAAAGGTTAACGTTTTATTTGAATCTTTGAGTCAACGTTTACGATCAAAGCGTTCGGCGATAGCCAATCCAAAGCCAGTGCAGTGCTCCTTCGGGGGAGCGCTAACACCGCCAGTTGGCCGTCAACGCGAAGCAGCTGAGCTCGTTTATATCTTGTCATGTGTTAATCGTATTCCTTAGGCGCGGTACAGAAGGCCAGGTCAAACTAAGCCGTGCCTCCGCGTGTGATCCGATGGGCAACTCCATAAAGCCACACATCCAAAATGCCGGCAAGACTGGGGTGTGTACGCTGCCCAACAGCAACCTCAAGGAGGTGAGTGGCGACGTCGTCTGAATCGCACGATCCGTGGTTTCTTTTGAGAAGGGCTTGATCGCGGCGCCTAAAAGTCGGCACGTCTTCGTGCTTGAAGGCTGCGCGTGCAAACGCGTACACAAGACAGAGGTCAGGGCACCAGACTGCCCTTCGTGTTTTTTCGCAGTTCCCCAAGGAGCTGTTCCTTACCGCGGGCGTGCTGCGGACACTCGACCTTTCGGGCAACAAACTGTCCTCGATCCCGGCGACGATCAACAAGTTCGAGCTACTCAAGCATCTGACGCTCTCGAACAATCGCATCGGTAAGTGCAGTCGTGTCCTTTGCACTGTCGCGTCCATTAGGGGTGTGCGAACGTTTAATTGAATTAAACACTGTTAGGCAGCCAGAATATAACAATCGTTCGTTCCCGGGGATCCGTTCGTGCCCTTGATGCTAAAATTCCAAATACTAGGTTGTGAGCGCCAGCCTATGTTAACTGTGCAAACGGCTCCTCAGTATTCTGAAAGTATTCGAGTTACAGGCTGAGACGTAGAAGCGCTAGAAATAAAACTGCGAACACAAGAAAGAACACAAAGACAAGCACCACTCACAGCTCGGATGTAGTCTTATTTCTTGTATTTGTCATTTTATTCATGATCTAATATGTCTCAGTCTGTGGTGCACGATCAACTTAACCAACGTTTAGTTCTTTTGAAATGTGTTCAGTTTGCTTGTGATGAATTGTGCATTGCCAAAGCCAGGGGGGGGGGGGGGTGATGTTGCTGAACTGCATAAACTTTTGTGTTTTATACCACTGCATCGCTCCTGTGAAGCTGAGAGTTGTTGTACCTTTGCACGTTTTTTAGTGTGCAGTTGACATAGAGAAATATTTGTGAATGATTTCATGAATTTGGCTAACGTGAAGAAATTCAACCTGACATTGAAATTTTCATGTGTTCACGCACCCCTGACTAAGCTTTCTGGGAATGCATCTACTCTCCCGCTGCCTTTAGTCTAAATTTTTTTCTCTAGGTTTTGCAACAGGCAAGTCTTTTGCCCTGTCATGCCATTCTGCCCCGCTGTGATGCTTTTGAGGTGGAATCCTGCTATGCCTCATCGAACATAAAAATAGGTCGTTAGCATTTGCGGCATCGATACGAGCGATGCAAAAAAAAATCATTAGTGGCCAACATCATAATGGTGTCACTTATTGGCAAAATTGGTGAGATAGTTATGACATCATCCTGTGTCGTCAAAGTTGGACGATCACTGAGGCAGTGCTGCGCCGATTGAGGTGCAGATTATTGGATTGCCTTTGATCTCGGAGGCAGCTTGCAATGCCTCCGATCCTCTCTGTTTTATGAGTTTCGTGCTGCACTGTGGAAGCTGCAGTTCTTCTCAACCAATGGTGAGCACATCTAAATGTATCCTTCCGCGCCCTGTCGTCTGCAAGCGGCGAGTGCCACTAACTCGGAGCTTGCGCACCGTCGGAATTTCGTTCATCAAACAGAAGCATACAGGTTGAAGTCATCCAGCAGATTTTTTTTTTTTTATCACGAACCTTGCCACCGCAGAACCGCGCCTTGGGGATCGGCGAGCCGCATCATCTGTTCTCGGCTCTCCGAGTCACCTGCGTCTGCTGTGGGACGCTTTGAGCTGCTTGCTTCTTACTTCGCGTTTGTCATGCTAGAAGTGTGGATGTCATCCACGTCGCTGCGAGGCATGGTCCGCCCGGTATTCGTAAAAGCGTAGCGTAAAACCAAACAACGTCCTCAAGCTGGCGTCTGCACAAGTGGCGTATAGAAGCAGAGTACAGAAGCATTGGATAACCACATTAGATGCAGATAGCTTTCAGAGTAGGAGGGGAGGAGGACAATACATTGACTGAAAAAGAAAAGAAGATGGCATCAAGCCATATTGTGCGATTGCGTAAGCGACCCCCGAAAGCTTTCATTGTGTGTGCCCATTACGGTGTTTATTTTAACTACCATATTTACCTCACTTTAATGTGTGTGACCATGACAGTAACATGAGGGGTGATTTTTCAGGAAAAAAGAATAGTAAAATGAAAATAAAAGAATTGTGCACATCATTGCATTGTACAGAGAGCTTGAACATTGGTGTTTTATTGTAACGGAAGGATCAGCTTCAGGTAGGAAAAATCTGAAAAAAATTGTGTTATGTTCGAGTAAATACAACGGTACCTTCTCTCTCTTTCTCCACTTTTTTTTTGTTTAACACTGTTCTGTCATCACCCACCCACCCCTACAGCATTTCTCCCGGACAGCATGTCTAAGCTGAAAAAGCTCGAGACGTTGAACCTCGGGAGCAACCACCTGTCGCGGCTTCCAGAAACGCTGTCTGGGCTCAGCAATCTCCGCAACGTCAACCTCAGCGACAACCGGCTCACCGCGTTTCCGCACTGCTTCTGTGGCCTCAAACATCTGGACGTGCTTGACCTCTCGCGCAACCGGATATCCGAAGTGCCGGACTTTGTGGGCGACCTGCACGCCACGGAGCTCAACCTGAACCAGAACCAGGTGAGCAGTGATTAGGGCGCTGTCGCGCTGCTGTTGTGCAGTGATGCAATTTCCTATACGAGCTCTGTCTGTGTAAGGCTAATACAGCCCTTAGCTTCTCCTCTTGTTTTCTGCATTGTCTGTTGACAGAAAAATAAAGGTAGTGAATAAATTAATGCCTTTTCTTGCTTCGTCACCAATCAGAGCAATAGTTGGCCCTCATGAACGGGATTATCCACGACTGGGCAATAACACTAGCACAGAATTGAGCATCACATTTGCTATAATATAGCAGCCCTGGAGTAATTTGTAGGTGCTGGCACGATCGACTGCTGGCTTTGGCAGCAAACATACATTGTGCTGTGGTAAAATTATGGGTAATGATAGTAAACCCCACTAAAAGAACATGAAAAGGGCCTCTCCATCATGTGCCTGTAATCCGATCACCATGCATGCGACTAACTCAACAAAAGCCGCAAAAACAATCTTATACCCTTGTGACATGGGCACCAGCAAACTCCATTGAACTCCATCAATGTAAAGTTCCATTAGGTTGTTCAATGAAGATGGTGTTGAGGCGAAGTCTCATGCCAGCTTTACTAGCCACGAGAGGCCCATTAGGTGTGCGTATGTCTGCATGCAAGATTTCTCATCTAAATGTGCTGAAAACATCTTAAATCGTACGTGTCTATGTAAAAACTATAATTTATTCAGGTAGGACTAGAAGTACTGTCTTGGCTTTCATCACAGAAAGATGTACCCTCAAGCATTGGCTGCAATATTGAGAGGAATGCTGGCAGCACTGAATATTTGTTTTGACACGTACTCGTTGTAAAACACACTGCAAGTTTTTATAGATTTTCTTTTTCATGTCGCACTACCACCTAGATCTAAAAGAAAGGAGACTTCAAGGGCTTGAAAATTACAGGCCAATCTGCTTACTGTCCATTGTCTACAAGCTATTTACACAAATGATAGCTAATGCAATTTAGAGGACATTACAGTTCAATCAGCCAAAGGATAAAGCAGGATTTTGTATGAGCAGTTAAAAAATAGACAATATTCATGCTATCAATAAGGTGAAAGAGAACTGCTCGGAACACACCAAAGCCCTATATATAGCCTTTATAGATTACGATAAGGCGTTTGATTCGGTTGGGATATTAGCTGGCTTGCAGACGCTGCGCAAGCATGGCGTTGACTGCAAGGGCATAGCCTCCCAGGGAAGGGGGGAATTAACTCCCCTCTTCCGAAAATACTTTTTCAGTTATATGTACTCGCGCACACATACATGAAGTATAGTTGAACCCCCCCCCCCCCCCTTAAAAAGCCATGCCCCTGGTCAGTGAAATACATAATAAACATACTGGAAAAAAATTTACAGCAGATCCACAGCTATTTTGAACAGGCTATTCAACAGTCGACTGCATTCATACAATCAATGAGGTGATATAAAAATGCTCAGAATACACTCAGCCACCATACATAGCTTTCATAGATTACGTGAAGGCAGTTGATTCAGTATATATCAGCAGTCATGCTCACACTGAGGAATCAGCGCGTCGACGAAGCATACATAAACATCCTGGAAGAAATGTACAGCGAATCAACTGCCCCCATAATGCTCATGAACAAAGTGACAGCATCGCAAAGGAGAAAGTAAGACAGGGAGGCACAGTCTCCCCAAAGCTATTCACTGCATGTGTACAAGAGGTTTTAAAGGCCTTAGATTGGGAAGAGTTAGGCATGAGAGCCAACGGAGAGTACCTTAGTAACCTGCAGTTTGCTGATGACTCAGTGGACGAGTGAGTAACTCAGGGGACGAATGACAACTCGAGACTAATGAATCGGACAAGGAAAGCAGAAGAGTAGGTCAGGAAACCAATATGCATATAACGGAACTAATGTGCACCAGTCTCGGGAGAGAACAGGGAATTGTTGCAAGACACTGTAAGTTGTAAAGTACTCAGGACAAGTAGTAGCCATGGAGCTGAACGACGAGGGTGAAATAACTAGAAGAAGGGTGGGGTGGAGCACACCTGACAAGTATTCTCAAATCATGAATGGTACTTTACCACGATCACTTTTGAGAAAGGTATAGAACAGCTTCATCTTACCTATATTTGCCTTCGGAGCAGGAACCAGGACGTTTACGAAGAGGGTTCAGCTTAAATTGAGGACGACGCAGCTAGCGATTGAAAGGAAAATGATGGGTGCAACATTCTTTTTTGAAAGGTTGTACCCATAATTGGTTGCTTCATTCTTGGAGGTTGCTTCACTCTTGACAGGGTCACGTTACGCTAGGAGGATTCACGGCAGGGCTCTCTGCTCGCAGGTGTCCATGATCTCGGAGAGCATAGCAAACTGCCCGAGGCTGAAGGTGCTGCGGCTGGAGGAAAACTGCCTGCAGATCAATTCCATCCCGACGCAGCTCCTGTCCAACTCCAATGTCTCTTTACTGGCGGTCGAGGGCAACCTCTTCGAGCTCAAGGACTTCCAGGAGAAGGATGGCTACGAGACGGTGCGTGTCGCGGCTCAATCTTGTGGCTCTCCATTGATGGTAACACTCTGTGAGCTCGTCGTTACGGAGTTCGCCACACGGGACACCGCAAAAGTGTCTGAATGAACTGTTCTAATAAAACTCTGTCCATGTGCTTGGTTACGTGTGAGAAAACGAGCAAACACTCAGGACAAGGATAAAAGAGGAAGGCACATTCAAACTCGCACCGCTGCCCGATGGTGTCTTTCGTCCTTGTTTTGAGTTTTGCTGGTTTTCTCACATGTAAACATGAACCAACTGGCCTAACTTTTGATACTTCTGCAGTGGTGAAGCTACAGTGAACATGCGTAGCAACCGGTTACGCTGGTTTAGTAGTTATGGTGTTCAACTGCTGCACCCAAGATGACATGGTGGCATTTGAACCATGGCAGCCACATTTTCGATGCAGGCAGTGTGCTCAATTAGGTGCTTATATTTAGGTGTGCGCTAAAGAACCTAAAGTAGTAAAAATTTTCAGATTGTTCCTCTCAGGCATCTCACACAAGTACCGCATTTACTTGCGTAATGAACGCACTCGCATAATTAGGTAACGCACCCTGACTTCAGTCATCAAAATATGGATTTTTCTTTTCCCCGCGTCATAAACGCACCCCCCACATTCGTCTGCTGCAGTCCCGCTAACTGACACCTGGTGCCTCCTTGCCCGTTGGATCTCCTCCGTTTTTTATTATTATGCCGACCTCCCTCGGCCAGCTCAAATCGCTCTTCGCTTGCTGCCGCGCCCCTTATAGTTTTTCTTTTTGCCTGTGCGCGACATGTACCCAGTATTTCTAAAAATATCTATGCCTCACAGCGAGGTTCACGAACGATGCGAGTGCAGAGACATCACAGCGAGCGAAGGTCACGAAACTTCCCGCTCCAATTGAGGGTCGCTTCCTGCATGTACGAAACTTTAAGGCCAAACCACGTGCACGCAATTTTCGAGCGACGACGACAGGATTTCCTGCCGCTATGGCTGTCGCAAAGGGTCATTCGTCACCATCGCGTCGCAGGTTTCTGGAAAACCAGAAAGGAATCGCTTGTTGCCCAGAAAAGATCATGATTATTTGCACAAGGTCCTTGATTCTCGCTTCGGTTGCAAGCGAGGTGGCTGCCGTTCTCTGTCTTTAATCTTGTTGTTGACACTTTGTTTTGATGGTTCGGTGGTAGTTTACTGCAATATCAATGACATCATTGTGGTTGTCAAGCGAGGTTGCCACGAAGTTGGCAAAGTGTGCCGTGGCGTCAAAGCGCACGCTTTTGGGTGCCCCTTGAGATCACAGCAGATACCACTGTTGCGGTTAAACGATTGCGAAAAAAGGAAGCCGCGAAATGCTTATATGGCGTGCTTATATGCTTATATGGAAACAGCTTGCAGAAAGTAGCGCCTTCAACCACCGAAGACGAGTGAACTGCAACAAAGAAGCTGAGCAACACAAATTTTTTGCATTGCGGCATTTTTTTTTGCTCATACCGAAAAAGTTCTAATTAAATTTGCCTCTCATTATAAACGCACTCCAGCTTTGCTCCTATATGTCAAGAAAAAAACTGCATTTATTATGCAAGTAAATATGGTATATCGTGGTTTTGGCATGTACCGTAAAAACCAGCGTATAGGTCAGACCTGCATATAGTCCGAGGTGCGTTTCGGGCATAGTAAATGTGAGGAAAAAACATTTTTCACATGAATATAATTCGAGCTAAACAGAAAAGTACATTTATTTACACTCAATTACTCGTCATCTGACAAGCTCTCATCCGAAGCTACCTTGTCGGACATGTCCTCCCACAGTCCCTCGTCGTCAGTGCCATCAAAGGCATTTGAGATAGAGTGCTTTTTGATGAATCGACGAACGAGCTCCTCGGAAATGCAGGTCCAAGCCTCGGCGATCTACGAGCACAGCATTGCTGGCGAGGCCCGCTCCAGTCAAGCAGAGGCCGCTTCTGGCTCTCCAGACCTCATCCACTCCATATACAGGGGCTTGATGTGGTCCTTAAATGGCTTGTTGAGGCACACATCAAGCAGCGGCAGCTGGGATGTCATCCCTCCTGGGATAATGATAAGCTCGTTGCGGGAGTCATGCACCAATCGTTTCACGGAGTCTGCTGCCAGATGACACCCAAATGCGTTGAGCACAAGCATCGATGGGAGCCCTAGTAGTGCTCCGGGCCGTCGACACCACACGAACTTTATCCAGTCAAGTACGAGCGATTCATCTATCCACTCTTGTCCTGGCAGCAGACGACATTCCTTGGGAACGTTTGCCACTTCGGTAGCGTCTTTCGTTTGAACACGATGTAGCGTGGCAGCTTTTGCCCATCTACTGTGCAGGCCCGCATTACAGTCACCCCTGTTTATTCCCAGCTGATCACACGGTATTTTGCATGGAGCCTTTTTCGTGAACTGTTAGAGCTGAGGGCATATGGAGGTACACAGGCATCTGATCAGCATTTATGCTTTGGCCCAGATAAAAGGAGACTTCCTTTCACAAGGAAATCATGTGCATCTAAAAGCTCACAAGCAGCTCTTCGTAGTTTTTTTGGCAGCTTCTGTGATATCGACGTACCCCAATGTAGAGAGAATCGAGCGCGGCGCATGAAGTTCTTGCTCGCTTTGAAGAGCACCTGCTCAATGCCTTGATCTCTGCTGGCAGCTCCTATGCCTTTACTATAGCAGCATCTCTATGTTGGCAGCTAGCTGTGCAGCCCATTACTCCCGAAGAAACTTCGCTAGCTTTTGTTCAAAGTCGTGAAAAGAAACCATGTTTCGAGCCCTTGAAAACTTCTTCGCTGGCCGCTGCATACAAAGAGGGCTTCTTTCTGCTTCCTCCAGCCGCGAATGCACTGCTCATCCACGCTGAACTGTCGCCCGGCAGCACACTTACCGATAGCTTCAGCAGATAAGATAGCCTTTCTTTTAAAGGCAAGCGAATGCTGCCTTCGCGGAGCTGGCATGGCATAAAGTCACGGATGTAAAATCATGGTCGTTACGTGCGTCAAGTGGTTCAAATGGCCGTTGTTGCGTGCCTGTAGGACTAGGGTCACTAATGCTAAAAGGCCACCTACCGCAGAAGTGTGCAGACACCTAATCATGACAATCGCACTGTGTATATTCGAAATAAAAACTACAAATACAGGTCAAAATTTCTGCGATTCGCATATAAATCCCGGGCAACAATTTTGCATAGTAAAATTTAGAGAGAAAAAAAAAGCCCGGGCTATATGCGTGTTTTTATGGTAATTATAATCTGTAACGACGCTAATAAGTAGGAACTATGGTTGACGCTGGCAGAGAGCGACATCAGTGTGGGTAAAAAGTGATCACATGGAAAAGGCAACATGAAAACATATCCTGCCACTTTTCACATAACTGACAGCATGTAACAGGTGTGGAAATTCTTTTATACCATGTTCTGTGCATATTATAAGAAGTCTTGTTGTATGGTTTCATTTTCAAGGGACGCTAGCAAACGGTGGAGTGGTTTAGATTCGTTGGCAAATTTTACTTCGATACCTTTAACATTAATTTTACCATAATAGGTTTGCTAAAACACAGGAGAAAATCAAGGTGAAAGTACCATTTTTAAATTATGCATCAAAATCGCTTCACGCGATATCATGGATTCAAAGTGTATCTTTTATATTTTGGAGATAGTGGCTCAACGAAATTTCCTGAAACTTGGCCTTTAAGTCTATGGCCCCCTCAGAAGGCAGTCGATCTCATTTTTTACCGAGTTGGAACTACGTAGGGCCTAGCGGACGTCGTCAAAATCTGTGAAGTCGTACCGTTTGATGCGGGAATGTCAGCATGGCGTCGTCGCCGGAACGTTCCAACGCAATAGGGCTAAAGAGCTTATTTCGTAGAAATTCCGTCGTTGGTGTTGTTGGTTGTGAACGAAAAATCATCATCTTGTACATGACTGAAAAATCGAGAAAGATGCAAACAAAATAAATTTTAAAAATTCGGGGTCCGAGTGAAGATTGAAGCAGAATCGTTTGCGTGGTGGCTGTGTTGAACTGGTGACTGCGTTCATACTTGCGAACATTGTAGATCAAAAAGTAAACATCATATCTGAGGCACAACATTAATATGTATTACGTGGTGTGTTCTTTACTAGAAAGTACACTGATACGTAGATATAAAGACCCGACTGCTGCTCAGGCTGTGCTGAAAATTTGACACTATGCACGAAAGAACGACGGCAGAAGACTCGTCTTTTGACAAAATTTGCAGCGAAACACGTCAATATGCAGCCAATTTTTCTTTTTTCGGCATGTTTCCTGACCTATCTAGCTTGTTCTCACGGTAAGGGTGGGGGAAGCGGGGCTTGGAATTCTGAAATACCATGGAAATCAATTTCAAATGCCAGGGAAATAATTTTTCCGTCTTGTGTCATTTTAACGTAGCACGTGACGTTTTCTTGCAGTACATGGAACGTTACACCGCCACCAAGAAGAAGATGTTCTGAGACGACGTGAGGCCCAGAACCTCTGCAGCACGTGGCAAGCAAGGAAGAGCACCCGATCAAGCTCACACTTCCCTCGCGATCTTCGCACAAAAATGATGACAGGGCAGTAGTGCCTTGGTGCGGGAAAGAAAAAAAAAAAATTGTCGCTGTACAAGTAGCCGCTTGCAGCGAGTAGTCATTCCAGGGGCATCGGAGGCACTGTCAAGAAAGGACGAATCGTGAACTGTAGCCTAGACCCAAGCACGACTCGTGTTGGGCAGGCAGCTGTGGAAGCTATCACATTTAAATCGCCTTACAAGTTGCACTGTCGCGACTTATCTATATTTATTAAACGCTGTATTTTAAATTACCGCACATCTAAGGAATTGTTCTTTTCTTTACCTCGGTTGCACACTCATTCTTCGATGTAACGAATGGTTAGATATAATAAATAAATGAACACTAGTCTTTTCATAGACTAGTGCCACAAAAATATATTCCTAACAAATTTCTGGATATAAAAAAAACTTTGTATTGTTAGATGTAGCTTCGCTATAATGAGGTTATAGGGTAGTAAAACTTCTACAAGATGACAACCAAGGAATCCAGCACAACCTCTACCCACTATGGCAAGGTAAACCTGTCCGTTGCCACAGTAAGAGGGATGTTTTTCGCAACAGTGTTGTTGTCAGGCCAAATAATAAATGCAAGGCTTATTGAAAAATAAATCCCTTTAGCTAGAGTATGATGTTTAGCAGAAAACACTGATGAGCATCTTCTGATTGATTGATTTGTGGGGTTTAACGTCCCAAAACCACCATATGATTATGAGAGGCGCCGTAGTGGAGGGCTCCGGAAATTTTGAGCACCTGGGGTTCTTTAACGTGCACCCAAATCTGAGTACACGGGCCTACAACATTTCCGCCTCCATCGGAAATGCAGCCGCCACAGCCGGGGTTTGATACCGCGACCTGCGAGTCAGCAACCGAGTACCTTAGCCACTAGATCACCGTGGCGGGGTGATGAGAATCTTCTGCAAGACTTACCAGGATGTAGAGGTTCTACCAAAACCAGCTACACAGGAATACTTATACAGAAACTTGTACATAAATACGGATACTTATACACACAGCAGCACACAACATCACGGAAATGACCAAACAGAATCAACAGCCACATTTGCACGAATTCTCTTCTAAGCCGGACAGTATTACCCACAGCAACATAGTCTTCTATTGTGCCCGACTGTTGGCAGAGCCCATCTGCATTAGTTAAATTGTTGTAATTTTCGCACGGCCTCGCCACCCTTTTCCCTCACAGGGAGGGGAAGGCGCAACACAAAGCCGTGACTGGTTTAGACCAATTGACGAGCTGTGTGCTACGACATGTCGGCGATCGGTGACTTTTTGTCACTGCGTGTGAAACAAGGATCGGTCAGGCGTAGGAAAGAAGCGCAAGAATTGCTTTTCGACACGGAGGCTCTGCACGGCTCGCAGCGCCGTAATATCCAAAAAACATGACCGCCACGGTGTACTCTACGAATTTCCGAGCTTCTTTGGGGGATTGTAAAAAAAAGAAGTCTGAGCCTATTGGCTGGCCCTTTAAGGTGTTGCAATACATCACGTTTGAACAAAAAGTGCACAGACAGCGCATGCTTGTCAGCCTTAACAAAAAAAGTTCAGCAAAATAATGACTTGCTTAGGGTATAAGCCGAGGTGAAAGGTGCAAGGATGACAGTAGAGAGAGGAAGATACAAAAGGTTTTCATTAGGCGCTGGTTAAAAGATCACAAAAAAGGCACTCCTGTGGAGAGAGGTGCACATGTCTGCATGTATTCTTTATAATGGTTCTTTTAATTAGCACACAATTAAAGAAGACACAAACCAATCATATCCAAGTCATCACTTTACTGAGATATTTATCTAAGGTGGCACTATTGTCATGGTCTTCGCATCTTTTTTTGCATTGGAACTAAGGAGGTTCTATAGAACAAGAGGTAGTATAGAACCTCCTTGATTGGAACACGTTAAACCAACACATCCAGTTCCGGTACCCATCATAAAATTTTTACAGCGGCATGGGTAAGTTGCAGAGAAAAGTTTTTTTTTAATCAGTGAACTAGCTTTCTGAAAAACAAAAAAGGCCACCTTTGTCATGACCACAGGATTGGTAATCTGAACAAGAATTCGAAACAGGTGGCACCTTTACTTAGGCAGCCAAGAAGGCTTTCTTCACCAAGAATAGTCAAAAAAAGGGCAAAGACGTTTTCGCACTCAACGCTAGCAAATTATGAAGCACGATCCAGTTCGAACACATACGCTGTGGTCGAGAAATCGTAGATGAAAGCACCAGAATGACAACGCAACGTTTTGCATGCACGCGGGAGGCATGGCGCAACACACATTAGCTGTAGGTAGATTCCAACAGGATGCTTTATATCTGCTGCAGTCTTTGGTTCTCTAGATAAATTGACCTACTGTAAAATCCAGAACAAGACACCCCCCCCCCACCACCATCACCTGGTGAAAGACATTTGGGACGAGATGAGGGGGTGGGGGAACCTTGCTTGGCCACAAATCGAAATTCACGATAGTGGCAGAAGAGCTGCACATGCTTCCAATGGAACACTTTATCGAATACGCATGCATTCACTGTAATTTGCCCTTGTCGGACAAATAAAAACGGTGAATGAAACAGTGAAAGCAGCAGGAGGGCATGGAGTGCACTTGCTCAGTCATTGGCACATATTCGAAATCTCCTGAAAGAGGGAGGAGAGGTGCTTGCTCTAATGGAAGCACTTGCTTGGGATTTTGTGAAATCATGTTGAAATTAGGGGACATTGTTATAAAAGAGCACTCTATGAAACTCAGTCACTTTAAGTGGAGCAAACACTGAGCATGTGACGAGATGAAGTAGAAAAGAGCAGACGTGCTCAGGCGAATTCATAAACAGACTTTATTACCCGTCACTAGAAACATGACACACGATGAAAGTTTGCTGTAATGAGGTAGCATACACTGGACTTGGCTAATGTGAATGTGATTGAACATAACGATGGTTCCTACATGGTACCTCGAGGTCACATACCCCAAGGCAGGACAGATAGATTTATTCAATGCATTTCTTCCACGCCTTCATTCGTATGTATTTATAAAGCAAAACAGTGCTTACTAGAACAACAGCTGTTACATGTCGGGTGCTACATGAGATGAGCATAGAAAAAGTCAAAATAATATTACCTCAGGTTTTAAGCCACAAAACCGGGATATGACCATAAGGCCCACCGCAGTGGAGGGCTTCAGAAATTTCGACCATCTGATGTTCTTGAAAGGGCCCCTCACCAGGTTCGACACTTCTTAGCTGACCATTGCAGTGCATACACTAGACATTCACGATCGCACCTGCTGAAATTCGCAACACCAAGCACCGTGGAAATGGGTCAAATCTCAAATTGAACACCGCTTGCTCCTTTTCTTGCCTGCTTGCGCCCAGAGAATGAGGGGATGGCCTAGACAATAGAATTTCCTTACGTAGACTGTAGTGCTGCAACGTTGGTCCTCAACATAGACGACAGCGCTCTGATGTTGCCAACAGCAGCGTGTGACACGGCGAAAATTATTTGACACGACATGTGTAGTGTGTGCAATTTGTTGCTTGAATAGATGAATAAAGCTTGACAGAAATAATGGGCACACACAAAAAAATGTGTGCTTCCTTTTCATTTTATTCCCGGGAATTGCAGCAATATGTGTGGCCAATCTGCCTCTGTTCCGCATGCATTTCTGTCCCCACGGATTACGCATAAGGCATGCACAAGTTCTGGAAACAAAAGTAATGTTTGGTGCGTTCGAGCACTCATAATTCTTAATTATTCTACCGGTTCATGTAAATGTTAAAGTGGTATTGGCTCGTGATACCGTCACTCTTGTCAGTGAAATGTCGCAGTTTTTCGCACTCGGTAATGGGTTGCAAGCCTTATGGTGGGCGAGGCAGTAAACGACACAATAACGCTGCTCAGCAAAACAACGTGGCTATGATCTTGCTGGGGGCCATAGTGTGCACTTGCCCTGGCTTGTGCATGACATATTCCTCTTGCTCGGACGCTGGAGAGGGTAGGGAATCAATTTGGCTTGCGAAGGCTACAACGTGTGAGCAGCAAGGGTTTCAAGCTTACCTCCTGACATCATTGTTTCGTGCCGCGTCAAAATGCCAGTTTTCTCAGCTTGTAATGAACAGATCAAAAGAATTCTCGTGCCATAATGCTCTTCATCAAACACACAACTCTAGCCTGGTGAGGGGCCCTATAATGTGCACTAACATCACACGATACACAGAAATATTCTATTCTTGCCTCCGTCGCAATGTGACCGCCGCGGCCATGATCGACCTGCGACCTTCAAATCATCAGCCGAGCGCCTTATCCACTCTGCCACTGATGCGGACAGAGTATAAGAAATGAAGCTACAGCTATGTCACAAGGGCAAAGCAATGAACGCGACAGCAACAAATTTGAATGTTAATGGAGTACAACAAGCAGCTAACTCTTTTGCCTGCAGTCTGATATGCGATGAGCAGCGATGGTATGCAGCTTCAAAAAAGATTGTCACAGGCGTAGAGAATTTGACGATGTCGTTTTTCCTAAACTACATATGGCAACGTGGAGGCGCATGCAACAAATTCCCATGGCCTTTCGGCGAGACACTGGGCTGGGTAACACTTGGTGACAGACCCCCTATAATTCAGGAGATGACCAGGCCGAACAATCGCTGGCCATTTAGGCCAGGCTAACTTGGCTCGCAACACCACAACCGCCACGCCTCAGGGTCTGTGCTTAAAGTGTTCGTATGTGCTTAAACAATGTGCTTAAAGTGTTTGTATAATTGCTATTGCAATAAAAACACAGAGACACAAGTGAAATCACGACAGCAGTATGAGCACGAAGCGAAGAAAAAGGAAAAACTATATGTAAACATAAGTTCAGAAATATTACAAGAATGAAACCATGCAGACAGCACGGCATTACACTCAAACCTCAATATAACAGACACTGATATAACAAAATATCGGTTACGTTGAAGTAAGTGATAAATAGTCTTGCAATACATATAGTGTTAAGAATATACCTTTATAACAAATTTTCAATAACACACTTATTTTCATGGAAGATGCAACTTTGTTACAATGAGGTTTGAGTGTACATGCCTTTGCTCAGTGAAAGGCTGGCTTTCCAGTAGCTGTTAGAAACATAGTTTACAGCGACATCACAAAAAATACAGAGTACAGTTGTATCATACAAATGGGAGACCAAAAGGATGCAGTCATTTTGTGTGTTTCCCTATTGTGCAATGGCATGTTATGCTAAATTTTCTGTGACACTTATTAGTGCATTAAACATAAGTACAATCGTTCCATAATATGTAGACAACTAACTTCACAACACAGTGGGTGGAGATGAAATCTGCCTCCACCCCTTTTGAAACAAAAATAACAATAATAAATAAAAAAAAACGCCAGACCTGTGCGGGTCGCGCAGCACATTCACAGTGGAAGCTGGAAGAGCGGCCTTTCAGAACCTTTTCTAAACACTCTTTGGGCAACTACTTGCTGGGTACCAATTGTGCCATAAATAATCATACTTTTTCAGTAGTAAACCAGCATTGGCTATGCTCTCCGTCATTATTTGATAAAGCGTGGTATCCGCTACACACTTGCTGGGAATTTCGTACAATTTTTTTTAGGCAGTGGCTGACTGATGATGAATAATTATGCCTGAAGTGAGTACGCGCCACAGTCGATAGGTTATCAAGAACAAGTTTTTCAGTGGGTTCGAGCATTGGAAGACCCAGTCGTTATACAATTCACATTGTGTGATGCCTGGTTGTTCTTTTGATGTTCTAGAACGCTTTATTACTCATATTAACGAGATTTTTTTCCCTACATCAAGCCTGTCTAAGGCCAGTTTAGAAATTTAGTTCCAAGCAGCAGCGTGGCTCAGTGATAGAATATTGGGCTGGCACGCAGTGGACCTGGTTTCGAATCCCGTTGTGTCCTCGGTGTTATTTACGAAGCTTTTTGGGGACGAGGCTCCTTTTAGTCTAACCTTGTCCTGCGTCAGGCTTAACCGGCAGTATCAGACAGACATACAAGCAGATAGACAAACAGACGGACGGACAGACAAATGCAGGCACGGACGAAAGCATGGGCGGGAGCACAAACGAACCCATGGACAGATGGATGCACAGACAGGCAGGTGGACGGACGGAGAGAGACAGACAGACAGACTCACGGTTGGACGGACGCTCTTCTCCACTCATCATCAGTCACTCCGTGGATATGCTGTGATTTTTTTTTTCTTATTTCTTGCGATACTGGTTACGGACACCGGCGGCAGACAACTACGGCGCCGCTCTTATAACTACAGTGCCGCTTTTATAGCTTTTGCTGTAAAATGTGTATAGGCAGATCTCTGGTATCGTGCCACGCACAGAAAATGTATAGCGCTTTAAACATTTATATATTTGGCATCAAATTTCAATCATTGTGGCTTAAATACGAGAGCCTCCATGTAATAGATGCATTTATACACATAACTAAATTGTTATGCCACACATAATGCTGTTTTGCACAAAAATACGCTGAACCATGAGGCTACAATTTTGGAAATGACAACTAAAAAGTTCCACCGGCACTGAAGTCTCCTTAAGTGCAATGCATGTGAATGCACAGAACGCCTGGATGTGATGACTACGTCTATGTCTAGTATGCCATGTGACGTCCCTTGACATGATGTGATGACATCATCACTCGGTGACAAGTTCTCTTGCCATCACCTGGTCACAGCAAAGCTTGCCAGACAGTTGCTGAACTTTTTGCTTCGTGGTGCATTATGCTTTCTCTTTAACAACAATGATTAATCTATGATCCTGTCACTCATAACAAAGACACTAAATTTTGAAAATTTAAGGATTAGATCATTCTTTGTGCATCATCTTTCGTTAAAAGGTGTTAAGTCTTTAAACCACCAGCTGAATTAGGTAATATAAACTGCTCCTCACAGGAGCCAAATTCATTTGACCATGTTGCACACACACACATTAGCTATTCAAGAATATAAATATGCACATGCATCTCCACAGAAAACCATCTCCTGCATTTTTGTCTTTGGTTTTGATTTGTGGCTGCCATCTTCACGCTCCATCCACTGCTAGACGACTCCGAAGTGAATGCACTGAATGGCTTGCCCTTGCTGAGGAGTAAAAATAGACAATGTGCACAGATGTACACAAAGACAGCAAGTAAACAGGTCAGCTGTAACCAATACAACTTGTGTCTGTGGTATATATACAGTTGTCAGCAATATGAGAGGGAACGCCGAAACCTTGTTTATTGAATGCTTATTTGTAACGGGCTGATATGAATGCGACATATTCACATTGGTAAAGTTTTGACTACTATGTGCCATTTGAAAAGATCACAGCGAAGATACCCAGGCGGACAGAGGTTTCCACAACGACCTCTGTACCACTAACCTCGATCCATCTGAGTGTCTTTGTTGAGATTTTTTCAATCAGTGCATAATCAAGCCTTTGACATGAACCAAAAAACCCTAGTCATTGCTTCACTGTCGTATTGGTACCGTTCTACTTGAGCATTTAGTGTTATGAATGCTTCTGTGCTTGCCAACTGCATCTAACCGCTATGACCTTTAAGAGGCAATGTAAATATTTCCTGCTATATTGCTCACGACTGTACATAATACACATTGCTAGACTGAGATTAAATGAAGACAGGACAGCCATTGTAAGAACAGATAACCTATGTTAGCAGACACTTACTATCATTCAGGCAACCATAGTCAACATGGAGTTATCCAGCTCTATATTTAACTAACATTGGCCAATATCAGGTGACATGAGTCGATTCGCTCTATATTTAACTAACATTGGCCAATATCAGGTGACATGAGTCGATTCCGTGGGCATAGAGGCAACTTTGGCAGAGCTAGGACAATGACAACTTTTTGCAAACTGCACAGGAGTCTAACATATGCCACCTCCCCTCCAAGGGAGGGGCGGGAAGTGCCAGCATGGATTGGCCCTCGAAAATTCACAGTCTGCCCACCCTCCAAGAGCTTAGCACTCTTTTCTATCCTTCATTTTTTGCTTCTGTAGTTACACTGTAACTACTTCTGGGTTGTGCTGTGCGTACATTCAGGTACTGTCAACAATGCATAAGTTCTGTGCCTCCCTGCCCCCTGAAGGAACGAAATTGTCGTTGGTGCTCCCCAGAAAAAAAAAAATCCTGGCACCACCCCTGTGCCCCCCTGCCCCATATAGAATGAACAGGAAACAACTTTTCAGTTGTGACACCACCCTCGTAAAGATTTGCAGCCGTTTCAAAGACAAGCTGATGGGTTTCTATGATGGTGGTTCACTAGATGCGTGAGATGGGCCCAACCACTATCACTACTGTTCATTTGTGTCTCTGATTTGAAAGGAATAATGAAGTGATAGCAAGAGGAAGAAGTACCGAGCTCGAAGGTATGCTGAAACTCTTTTAAATGAATATTTCTTTCTGAAATCAAGACCGTATTTTTATGTGTATAAGTCACACCTTTGTAAAAGATGCAGCCCCTACTTTTTACATCTATCGCTGGAAAAAATTACATATCAGATGCACGTCTGTATAAGATGCACCTATTTTTAACTCAGTAAGAATTAACAAACAAAAGACGCACATGGAGTGCGCTCATTGAAAAATACACAGTCACGCATGGCTTTCAATATCTGTAAGCAGTAGAATAACACTTGGAAATGACGCTGTCCTATGACACAAAAAACCAATATTTATCCCCCTACAATCAGAGCCACATCATCAGGTGCACAGTCGAAAGTTCTGATTCAGTAGGCTGCATCGCTGGGTTGCCGTTGCCACACTCTAAGTAACTCTTTTTATGCTGTGTTGTAAGCACTATGGAGCACATCGTTGGTGTTATGTCTTAAGCATTATGAGGCTTAATAGGAACACATAAACAATAATTGCGTTGCATGGTTGACACCCTACACACATGCATACAAAACATAAATGGAGACTGGAAGCTGAAAGCTGCGACTACTTTTGGACTAGAGCGATGTCTCAATGCAGAATTGCATTACCATTTTGCATATATAAGACGTCCTGATGTATGAAAAATATTGGAAAGGTGTGCCTCATACCGTGGAAAATACGGCATATTCAAAGTATTTAACAATATGTAAAATATATAAGCTGTTCTCGGAAGAGATTGCTCTTAAAAATGTTTTGAAAAAAGAAAGAGTGCTGAAACTGGGAGTATACAAGAAAACACATGACAATGTGCTGAATGTCACTTGAAAGGTTTATTTCGTGATGGTTATTTACCAACTAGTTTAACTATGCAAATAGTTTCAGAAAATTTCTTTTCCTACTACATAAAATACGAACCCTCTTCAGTTGTGCACTATAATGGAGATCGCTGCACATTTGAATTGTTTGCTCATTTTCTGCCACACTGAGCTGAAGTGCCAAGGGAAAGGAAATGTACTAGGCTTGTGCAAATATTCAAATGCTTCGAATATTCAAATAAATAATGCAGTATTTGAATTCGCTTCGAACTAATTTGAATTTTTGTAAATTTCGAATGATTCAAAATGAACAAATAAGTGCATATTAGTCTGCACGTGACACACTGTAAAGATGGTGCCACTGCCGTGGAGCCGTGCTAAGCCTTGAAAGCATCTATCTAGGTGTATACTAATTCGCATGGAACTCTCTGTAAAAGTGGTTTTACTGCAGTGAAGTGGTGCTATGCCCCTAAAACACATATCCAGGAAAAATTCGCACTGCCACAAAGCCCCACTTCAAGGTTAAACGAGGATATTACCCTTTTTTTTTTTCATGTTTAAAAACTTGTTGCACCAACTTATATGCTCTAAGTATACTAAAAAAGTAATATATTTTACATGCTATCACTTTAATTCTACTGAAAGTCAAATCCTGCTATTTTTCAAAATTTCTTGAATTTTCTTTGATAAAAAAAATTGTCATTTGCACAGGCCTTGTTTCAATTTTTTTTAATATTATGCAGGTTAGTTAGGCTATGACCAATTACTTTTTGGGGGGGGATGTGAGTAGGGGACAGTCATGACAAGTACGCCCATTTTTCTTTATAATATATGATATTATACTATTTGCATTTAATTCAAAATTATTCGGCCAAAATCACTATTTGCTTTGAACCCAAAATTCGCTAATTGCACAAGCCTAGAATTCACACAAATTGGCCCAAGTTACACTACACTTTTCAAAGCATTAGCCTACGGTGTTATCAAAGGTGAAATTAAATTTGACGTCACTTACCAATAATTCCTCCCCGGATCCCTCACCTGAAATAAAAGGCATCATTGCAGGTGTTATCTTGAGCTTGTAGGAAATGTAAACCACTCATTAAATTACACGTGAAGAAGCATTATCACAATACTCTGCATAGGGTTGAAACTACCATGGAGTCTTTCCTGCAGATTTTTGCATTTTGCCCGTCGAGATGAGCCACCCTGGCATAATAATTGATGGCGTTTTATGTCCCGAAACAACGATATGACTACGAGGAATGCTCCTCGTAGTGGAGGGCTCCTAAAATTTCTATCCCCTGGGGTGCTTTGATGTACACCTAAATCCAAGTAGACAGGCTTCTAGCCTTTCACCTCTGTCGAAATGTGACTGCCATGGCAGGGACTCAATTCTGCGACCTTCAGGTGAGTGGTTGAGACTCATAAACCACAAGACCGCTGCGGTGGATAGGCCGCTACGGCGAGGAATCGAACCTGTGCCTTCACGCTTCGCAGTGCCATGCAATGCTCGCGTAGCTAAAGATATAGAAATTCGAGGAAAGATGGAAGCAATGAGAAATCATTGGAATGACTACGTAGCTGGAGCCCAATGCTTTAGCAAGTGGAGTTGTCTTTATGGAGGCAGCAAGTGGTAGAAACAGCAAGGCAGCACAAAACTGTTGCTGCCTTGATGGAGAGAAGTCTAGGGATGGGTGAATAGCATGAGCATCGGCAGGAGGGGGTTCAAAAGTCGTGCTTGACCCCTCTTCTTCTCGGGACACACCAGCACTTGCCCCGCACCAAAGCCTCACCAGCGACCACCCCTCCTCCCTCAGCGCTATGCAACGCGAGTTGCCACAAAAACAGAATGATGCTGATACTCATGGTGAATAGTAAGCTTGAGGTTCAAAGCTAATATCATTAATGAGTGTTAAGTAATATAAACACATGAGAGTAGCGTTTCACACCAGTGGCATAGAGATTAAGGGGAAAAAGGAGATAGACTGGCATGAGCTAATCTGTATGACTGGCACTGCTTGCTTAACCGGCTGTAAATATATCTGTATCTACTCTTCCAAGCCGGTCTCCTTCTCGTAACAATATTTTTAAGAATCAGAACTAGCTTGAAGCAAAGTGAAAGCAACCATGGATAGAAGCAAGATTTGGGCAGTACTAGTAGTGTAAAAGCTATAAGCCGTAAAATACCTATGTTACATTTTAAAATTTGCTGAGCTTTGCCCTTATGAGCTGGTATAACATGCTTCTGAGCTGAACTAATAATAATAATAATAAAGCAAGCGAGTAAGGAATTTGATCTGGGAGCAAGTAATACGTAAATTTAACTTTCAAGTGTGGTTACACATTGGTGAGAACATCACCTCATAAGGTGAATCCATGGCATAGTGACCCGCAATGCAGTAAGACATCCCTTTAGGCGTGTTAGATGCGGCAAATTGTACTTCTATTTGTTCAATCTGAGTACATAAATAAAAATTTCTGAAATCTTAAATTCATCTCGAAGCGAATTCGAACGCTTTCATACTCTTACGAATATTCAATATGGTCGAACATTTGCCCATGCCTTGAGAAGTGAACTGGACTCCAGCGACATCCCCTGCTCGACGATTCCTCATGACTTGCAGCGCTAGTCATGCTCGCAGACTCTCACAGGTAATCACGCTTGCAGTCGTCGGTGATACTGCCGACACTTTCAGAAAGGCTACCATTCCGTTTAACCTCTCAATAAACAGGAGCAATGGCCGCCTTGTGACTTGTCCCTTTTGCGGCTGCTGACGAGCACAGTCATGAAGTGTTCTAACACAAGGACCGATGACGATACCCACCACTAACAATAAGTGGTCTACGCGAAACCAATGACAACTTTATTCTCTGTAGTTGTGTTTTTCAATGCGGGATGAGCCCACTTGTGCACTTTTTTTTCTGTGAATTTCATTCCTCCTCCTCTATTTCGCCTCTGTTTGCATTGCCACCTTTGATACCGCGCATCCACTAATTTCTTATGCAATTAGAACAATAAAGAAACATTTCATAGAAATAATAGTTATAAAATAAACATTGACATTTTTGTCAGTTCACCATCTGTATCACTTTTAGATTGTGAGATTGCGTTTCTTAACTACACCTGATATGACTACACGTGATCCTGTAACATCCTTCCCCATTGTTTTTTTTCTGTATATATTTCTGTTACGATTACACTCCATATTCATAGATTCAGCGGCGTTTGTTTGTATTTGGTCCGGTTTGTTTGCGCTGCCAAGCTGTTATAATGAATGTATACCAAGTAGCCTGCTTATCAACTCTTCTGCTAATAATGGTACCACTTTATTCAGAAAAAAAAAAAAGCTCCAAAAAGTGATTAAAAAGTAATTCTTTGTCATTTTTTCCTTTTCCTCTCTCTCTCTTTTTTTTTCTTTTTTGGTCACAAATAGGTTAATCCAAACTTCACTTTTGTGTACGTACCATCCAGAGAAGCCCGGCTTGCAGCAGCGGCTGGAGCTCTGGGCGGCGATAGCGGCACAGCCCTGAGATGGCCCTCTTCGAAACGAGGGGTGCCGGACGTTTCGCTGCAATCAACACAGATACAAGGCTACGGGGAATGCATAACACTAAGGACGAGCGCTACTGCAGACTGAAGACGGCAAGTTAACCTTTGAAAAATACTGCTGTCATTTATCAAATTATATTATTAGCGAGCAAACAGAAAGTGTGATTGTGTACCTTCTTTCTGAAATACATGAAAGAAAAAAAATGCCTTCATGACATCACGGCAAGTTATCCAACTTAGTGTAACATTATTACCTTGGGGTAATATTATTATATATAATTTCTCAGAATTTATATATTATAACTGCATTTGCTCTTCCACAGTCAGCAAACTCAGCTTCTTAAGCTCAGCAGTTCATTTGCCAGCAATAAATGACTAAGCAATGCGAATTTCATTAGAACAAGACCACAGAATGGCTGAGACCCAAGTTATTATTGAAGGGAATTTGAATAATGTCATATTCATTTGAATATTTGAGGTGCTCAAATAATCACACAACCCTAATTAACTCTCATTTTGCCTAAGCAAATGCATGCCAAACTTTTCCTTCTTGCTTTAATCAATATCAGAATGAAACTCTGCACACATGGTGTTGTGGCCAACTTTCCTAACTGCCGACGTTTGATAATCCTGTTGGTACAGTCACGTATCTGTTTTTGTCCGATTCGTACCTCCTGCGCATTGATATTTTTATCTGTTTCATACGCTAATAAGTGCCTTTCCTGGATGGTCCAAATTGTGGTCAGCAGTATGGAGACCACAGTGGTCTTGCAATAAATAATCATACTGTTGTTGATACTGTTGTGCCACCAAGCATGATGCGACACTCGATGCGACCTTTATTATTAGGCCAAAGGTGACGGTGAAGTGTCCATACCATGGACGTTTGGTCCATACAGAGAGGAATAAATATTTAGGAGCTGAAACTCCGTTTAGAACGAGCATACGGAGGCGTCTAAATAACGTCACATAAAATACAAAAATAACACGCTCTGACGGAGACATTTCAGTTGGGGGCACCTTGCAGTGCAAAGCCGCAACCACGAAACACAGGAAAGGAAACACTACAGGTCGACGCGCTCTACGTTCTCGCTCCGAGTGTGAAGGTGCCTATGCCCCCTGCAAAGTTGTTTGCGCAGCGTAGCGGACGTATCTCGCGCAGAAGCCATACTTCGGGGTCGCAACTATTGAGCGATAGGTGGCATTGTGTTCGCAAGCGGTGACCACCATTATCATCATCATGGTTAGATTGGTAGCGCTGGCGGTGACTCCTGACAGCAAGCCTAGGTGGCGGCACGGGAGAATTGAGCGAGTCTCTTTCTCTGGTGGCGTTTGGCGCAAACGGTTGTCTCTCACGGTGTGTCCCCGGTGCACGGTACCGCAAACCGTCTGCCGGGGGCCACTGTGGTAAGCCAGGCGTTGGCGACGCCGCCTTGTTTGTCATATTGTTGAGTGGTGTTTAATTTGTGTAAGGATGATTTAGCATGTTGATCTCAACTGATGTTTTAATAATTCGGCTGACGATATCGTCGATCAAAAGGTAGTTAAATGTGTGTATTGTTTGGTTTGTCCCGACCGCGTCTGCTGTGTCCGTTCACTCCAAGAGCGTGGCATGGCTCTGTTCATATCGAGATCCCACACGGGATAGTGAAAGAACGTGAAAAACACGGGACCGCTTCGCTTGGAAACCGAAACATTGGCAATTCCCTTTTATGCCGCAAAACGCCACCAGCATGAATTTGCTATCTGGAAATGTCACATTATCTAGTCGCCTCAAGGAGCGGAGTTGCATCACATAAACGTTTCTTCCTCCGTGGGTCCACATCATGGACCAAATGAGCCCTTACAACTGGTGATAAAGAAGAATGTTACGTGATCGCGAACATGCGTAATTAATGCCTGCACTACTACTACTACTAGTACTACTACTATTACTACTATTGATAGCAATAATAATAATAATAATAATAATAATAAATAATTAACAGGGCAGAAGTCTCTTCTCCCTTCTTTCTTACCCCCCTCCCCTTGTTTACATGCCTATAAATACTATACATTCAAAGGTGTTACTGCATATTTTCGGGCATTTTTTTTTTTGTGCCAGAAAACCCAGTAAAAGCTGCCCATGCTGAAATTCTGCCTGAAAGTCAATCTGTACGAAATGCACAAAGGGAGGTGCATCTATTCCCAGCCCTTCAGTTTTTTGTAAGCGTGTTGATGTTTCTCCTCATGCGAAGATTGGTGCACTTTGCATTGAACAAGCCAAACCTATTCACTTGGCTCCGCTTAATTTTGTTTCCTTCGAAATTTTAGCCAATTGAAGAGGATGATTACTGGAAAGCATGGGACACCGATTGTGCCTCTCTAATACTGAAACGATGGCTAACAGCCTTTAAAAAATTGGCATTAGTACTGGATGGCAAAATGCAGTTATGAGCCATGCCTAGCACACTGCACCTGCTAATTTGGTTTTTTTGTCATAACACTTTATTTTCGAATGCCTTTAACATTGCTTGTTTTTAGATACGAAGCAGCTCTTCAACACTGTGTAACGTTGTCCGTCCGTGTCTCTGTGCCAACGTGCCTCCCCGCGTTTCCCCGCCACAGTTGTTGGAATGATGCCAAGAAGGTTAAATCGCAGCTGTGTGTTGACGTTGCTCTTTCCCTCAGCCACAGCAGCTGTTGGCTCCTCCCACCACACCTAGGTGGTGTTGCTCCTTCACCCGCTTGCAACACACAGCTCTCTCACTTCACCCTCTCCACAAAGACTCTTTTGACTCATTTATCTGCGATGAAACTTACATGTAACCCAATCCACCTCCTGTGTCTTTGCACTTTAAAGAAACGTTTACTAGAGTAAAGGCTACAATGAGTTTCGCTTCAAACAGTTTTTTCAGCACACGCACTGACGCACTTTTCAGCTAGGTCAACGACGTGTGCACCGCTGCTGCTTCAGATCCTATCATGGTTCCCTTTGGGGAGACGGTCCATGCTTTTTCTTCGTGCACCTATTCTCTTACCATAACAAACCGCCGTTACTGTGCTCTACGCTATGCTTGACGTTCCAAACTGTTTCTTAATTTCAGACAGAATATAAACTACAGTAGACTCCTATTAAACGAAATTCTCTTAAATGAAATTGCTGCTTAAATGGAACAACTTCACTTCTACTAATATGTTTGGTTTCGTACTTGAATATATACCCCTTTAAAGGAAACATATTTCCCTTGTCCCTTCAGGTTTCGTTAAAAAGGAGTACACCTGTCTCACAAGTCCGATCCACAGAAGTACACCTGTCTCGCAAGTCCGATCCGCAGAATCTTTTCCTGCCTGTTGACCTTTAAACTAATTATTTTTTTATTCTACCAGATTGAATATGTATTCATATCTGCATGAACTGCAAGGCACAGGTAAAATGGCTAGAACAGAAGAGCAGTGAGAGAGAGAGAGTGCAAAGATACAGCAAAGAAAAAAGAGGAAATAGACAAGAACAGGTGACAGTTTATTCGCAGACAGGTAAGAGGTAAAAGAACAGCACAGACAGAGGAAACGGAGCACACAATGGTCGCCGAAAGCAGAAATAAAATGTCAAGAGCAAATTTGAAAGAAAAAGGGAATAGACGGACCTTCAATTCGGAACAATCACTTTCCAGTACTCACACTGTCACACGATGAAAACAACTTGCACTTATCCAAGTACAGTTGAACCCCTTAACAAGAGACCCTGATGTAAACGACAAACTGGTATAAGAGACACAAGTGTGTCTTAGAGTAAAGCACGGGTCGATAAGAAAACGCATACCTGGCACCCTTTTTACAAGAGACACCTCATATAAGAGACAAGAGTTGAAGCCTTGTTTCTTATGAAGGGATTCAACTGTATATATAATATGTCTTGCACTCATATAAATAATCGCACAGGATCCCACCATCCCTCCAACACAGCTAAATTCAGCTAAATTGTCATCCTCGACATCAGAGCACACATTTTTCGGTGTTGCCTTCTTCGGTACATGGCACTGAAGAAAGCTGCCATGGCAGAAAACACCCACTTGTAGGCTTCGGATCTGACGGAGCTCAGCCCCGTTGGAGCTCCTCTCGGGTCGATCGGCTGGATTCTCGGGATGGGTCTTATGACGGACTGCTGCATTGACGCTGAAGCAAACGTCTGCGGAACCAAAGGGTCGATGATCGGCACGGCGACCCGCACGCCTTCCGACGTGCACTCATAGTCATCGCTCAGGTCGATGAGGTCTTCTTCGGCCGCTGGCGTTACCGGCACCGCTCGCGGTGGTGGCCAGTGGTAACCACTAGTACCGGTGTCACTTGCTGCGAAAGCAGCTGGCCCGGATGGTCGCGGACCCGCTGAATGGCCTTGCGGAGGCTGGAATAATGTTGTCACGAGAGAAGACCATAATCTATGTCGCTTTTTTCTTTGTCATTTAGACTTGCTACGTTTACCTTTAAGTGACTTTAGCAGTGTTGTGCAGTGATGAACAAGTGAAATGCAAACAAGAAAATACATAGTGAAACATTCTGTAGGTGATAGCTACAGAACTTGTCAGAGGGAAAAAAAAGAGCACAAAATTATGATTGAACACAAGAAGAAAAAAGGAAAAGAACAACTCTGTTATCTTCCTTTCTTCATCTTGAGTCTGGTGCTCTTTTTTTCTCTGTTACAAGCATAAAACAACTAGCCCAATCTTCCAACCCAGCAAGCTCTAGAGCAGTATCTCGCCCAAGTAATTTTATGTGGCTTTGAAGAATTGGTTTGGCCCCACACAGTGTGCAGGCTACAATATTTTCAACGTTCAGCATGCCAGCAAAAAACAAAAACAATAAAATGTGTTTCCGTTCACCTTCTCATTATATCTGTCCATGACTTTACTTCATGCTACTGACAATGTCTACTGCATTAAGCAATTCACATTGAACTATATAACAGAGTAGACACATTAGATGCACCAGATACAGCATATCACAAGAACACAAAAAGAATACTATTACGCAGGAAGACTTATAAATGCAAGGTCAGTTCACGGGAATTCAGCAACATTGTTATGACTGTGCATGTGACTGTGTATATAATAGGTAGTACTATTCAGTAATACAATAGTGTACTGGCTATACATCTTTGTGTGTTCAAGCTTACAATAATTGGATAATCACACCATCTCCACAGCTGTGAGGCAGTGAAAGGCAACTGTTTGGAGACGCACGGACACCAAGCCAACAACGACGAAGGGGTACGACGCCGCATCTGGGATGGGTGACTCACGACCACTGCTGTTACAGGTTGTGGTCATCTGGGCTGCTTGCTCCTGGGTCCCCGGATCCTGCGAGCTGGCTGGCACCGACCGCCTGCCTCTTCCTTGGCCTACCGAAACCCTTCTGAGGCCTAACTTGGATGAAATCGGCGCCTCAATCTGGCAACGCGGAACTTCTGTATCGCCTCATGACATCAACTGGGGAGTATATAAGCGCCATCCTTCAGCCGCCTACTTTGGGTACGACGCAGCATCTGGGATGGGTGACTCACGACCACTGCTGTTACAGGTTAGTTATATGAGGGGTGCTGCCTGTACCAAGTGTAGTCATTCCTGTTTCATTGCGGTGTCGTGCCCACCAGAGTTTTGCGATGTGCTGAAGCGAGTGTTGTGTTTGCCGTATAGGTTGTGCTCTGATGCCTTAAGGACATTGCTTATGCTTTCTGGTGACGTCGAGTCGAATCCGGGACCAATGAGCAAAACTGAAGCTGATTCGTTTGCTTTGGCATTAGAAACAATAAAAAAACTTGAAGCTGATCACACCCCGATGTCAGCTGACCTAAAACGACTAAGTGGCGAGCACGAGACTACTAAAAATGAGATCAAATTACTCCATGCTAAAATCGCTGCCCTCGAGGCAACACTTGCTTTGCAAAATAACGCAGGAGGACCCACTGACAATGCTCTGCTGCACGTTTCGGATCGGCTGACGGAAATCACGTCTAGATGCGACAATGCTGAAAATAGGCAGCGGCGGTCAAACCTTCTCTTCTTTGGAATTGAGGATAGCGAACCAGAGGATTGGGCCCAGTCCGAGGAAAAAATAATTAACTTTTGTTCTGAATGACTCGACATAACAACAACTAGTGCACAGTTTGAACGGGTTCACAGGCTTGGCAGGTTCACCGAGGGAAAAAACAGACCAATAATTGCAAAACTAACCTTCTTCAAAGATAAACAGCAGATTTTGTCCTCTGCACGGAAACTAAAAGGTTCACCGTTTTCTATCGGCGAAGATTTTTCGCCGGCGACGCGACAGGCCAGGCGCATATTAGTGAGCTTTGCCAAAGCCCAAAATAAGGCTTTCAAAGTGTCAGTTGACAGGTTGCACATTGATAAAAAAACATACGTCTATGACATCAACACGGACGCAGTTGTGCTATCAAGCAGATAGCTAAAGTCGAACAAGTCCTTGCAAGATCCCAATGTGACTTCACTTCATACCATTCCTACATTATCGCTGTCATCTTCTAATATCCGCAGCCTGGTGCCAAAACGGGATTTAGTCTGCTCATTTCTAGATGACAGCGACTGCGACATACTTGCCCTTACTGAAACGTGGCTAAACCCAGATATCACCGATATCGAAATTTTTCCTGATCGTAACAACTTCCACATATATCGAAATGACCGTAAAAATAAGCGTGGCGGAGGTGTACTTCTTGCAGTAAGAAAAACTGTGCAATCATATGCTATCAATGTTCACTCTGATTTAGAAATGATCTGGGTTGCCTGTGTTACAAAGTTCACCACACTGCTTATCGGCAATTGCTACCGGCCCCCTGATTGTTCCCATTCATTTGTAGACGACTTGCGCAGTAGCATAACTTAGGCCACTAATTTATGTCGCACCGACACCATCTACATTTTCGGCGACTTTAACTTTCCCGAAATAGATTGGATCCAATTGTCTTCCTCTTGCCGCAATTCCACGGAATTTATAAACCTTGCGTTAAATTTTAACCTATCTCAAATAGTAAACCAACCTACGCGCGGCTCTAACATCCTTGACCTAATTCTTACGACAGTTCCTGAAACAGTAGGTACCGTTCTTAACACAGATGGTTTTAGCGACCACAGCCTCCTCCAAGTAACTCTTAACATTCCACTACCTTTCTCCGGCACCGACCACAAAAATATTCGCGACTATAGTAAGGCCAACTACAGCCAATTTAACGCCGAACTCGAAATTTTTTACAACGACACATTCCTACCCCTTTTCGACCGTCGTTCAGTAAATGATAACTGGGTGCTGTACTGAGATAAACTTTGTACACTAACTAATCAGTATGTCCCCCTCGTAAAAGTGAAAAACGATAAAACAAACCCATGGTTTACTAAATCTCTCAGGCAACTCAGAAATAAAAAGAAACGTTTATACTGCACAGCTAAACGCCATGACACGCCCTCCGCGTGGCAGACATACAAGAATTTTATGAAAAGCTAGTGCGCGGCAGTACAATCTGCTAAGCTTAAATATTATTCTGTCGATCTACCTTCCCTCTTGAAATCAAATTCCAAGAAGTTCTGGTCACTTGTTTCTCCTCAACAAGATGGCCAACAAATATCTTTGCTAGATGACGACCATGTCCCTCTTTCAGATAGTCATTGCACATCAGCATTTAACGCATTTTTTTCATCTGTTTTCACCCTGGAAGACCAATCCGACGTACCATACGTTCTTGAACTTGACATTGCATACATGGAACCTATAGAAATAACTGCCGAGGGTATTGCTCTTCTAGTTAATAACCTCAAGCTTTCCACTTCAGCCGGCATCGACGACATTAATTCTAAAATTCTCAAAAACACCGCCCCCGTTTCTGTTAACATTTTGTATCACCTTTTCAGGCAATCTTTAGCGACAGGTCAACTCCCTTCTGACTGGAAAATTGGTAAAATAGTGCCTGTGTTTAAAACCGGTAATGAGCATTTACCCGAAAGTTACCGTCCAATTTCTCTTACATGTATATGCTGCAAACTTCTTGAACACATAATCGCTTCCCATGTTTTCCGACACTTAGAATCAAATAATTTCTTCTTTCTGAACCAACAAGGATTCAGAAAGGGTTTTTCTTGCGAAACACAGCTGCTAGAACTAACAACCGAGCTGCATTCCAATATGAACAGTAACCTTCAGACTGATTGTATCTTCCTCGATTTTTCTAAAGCCTTCGATCGCGTAGCCCATTGCCGTCTGATTTCTAAATTATCTGCCCTCCGATTAGACTCTCTTACCCTATCTTGGCTTCGCAACTTTCTTTCACTTCGTCAGCAGTTTACTATAATTAACAATTACCCTTCCCCTCTTTCCCACGTAACTTCTGGCGTTCCACAAGGGTGCGTCCTCGGCCCCCTACTGTTTTTAATCTATATAAATGATCTGCCAAATAACATCTCTTCCTGCATGCGTATTTTTGCAGATGATTGCATAATTTACCGTCCAATATCATCCCCCGACGACCACTTAACTCTACAAAGCGACCTTCACCACATTAATGACTGGTGTAACAAATTGTTAATGTCCCTGAACACGGAAAAATGTAAAATAATCTCCTTTACGCGCAAACAAAACGTTTGCACTTTCCACTACACTATCAATAATTCTGCACTATTACAGGCATCATCCTATAAGTATCTTGGTGTCCATTTCACACCCAATCTCTCCTGGTCTCCCCACATCACCACCATTAGCGCGAAAGCCTCCAAGTCCTTAGGATATCTACGCCGTAATTTACATAGCTGTCCCGCTCACGTCCGTCAACTAGCCTATCAAACCTTTGTCCGTCCCCAGCTTGAACTTGCCGCTCCTATCTGGTCCCCTTATCACAACTACTTAATTAACATGCTTGAAGCTATTCAGAATAGGGCGGCCCGTTTCATTTCACGCAATCATGACTATCACAGCAGCATAACGCAAATTAAAAACAATCTTTCTCTTCAACCCCTGAGCACTCGTCGCGACATTTCCCTTCTTTGCCTCTTTCACAAATACGTGTACACCAACAGACCCCTCCCACTCCACCTCGATGTTCCCTCCATTACTTCACGTAGGTCGCATAATCACTTCAGTTTCAAGCGATTATACGGGGCAACGGATTCATTCAACTCATCTGCTCTTCCTCGCGCCATACGTTTGTGGAATGGTCTTCCAGATAACATCGCATTTGTATCGGACAATAATTCTTTCCGTCAGTTGCTGCTTACTCTCTTCTCACAATAGACTTGCCACTGTTCTGCACTTTTTTTTTTTTTTTAGTGTCGGATTTTGTGCCCGATTATGTTTGTTGCACACTGGAAATGTTTTCTGTATATGGGCATAGGTTCTGCGTTTTTTGGTGCTTTTTCTATTGTATGTTCTGCAACTTATAAACAAATTACGGCACGTCGTTGAGGTAAAGCCAGCTGGCTATCTTTGGTTGATGTCGCCTTCATATGCTATAATGACTGTATTCGGTTCCCACTGTCGTGTGTGCACTATGAAATCGCCTTTTCTTTTTTCTTGTTATCGCCTGTTAACTTCAACTTATATTGCGAACCGCGTCATATTTTCATTGTGCTGATACGCTTTGTAACGCGTGAATTAATTTTGTGTGATCTGTAAAACTTCACCAATTAGCCCCCTTACTCAATGCCCTGTAAAGGGCCTGTAAGGAATTTTAAATAAAAAAAAATAAAAAAAAACTGTGGCTGGGAACAGTGGAGGGACATCACTTCGGCAGCATTATATGTGAGGAAAAATATTACTGCACCAGGAACGATCCTGTCCATCGTGCATATCCAGGCATGTTCAGTATGTGTATATACCCTACTGTACTCCTCCTGTGCTCCTCCTATGGTGTGCCATTAGGTGACATGAATGCATATGATTAAGTACAACATGACATGTTTGCTAGTGAAATTTCGTTACAAGAGTAGAATAATGCACTTCCACTGATGGTTCAAGGCCTGTCTGGGAAAGTGGGTAAATCTTGCGTAAAACGTGCAGGCGGGCTCGTTGGTAAAAGATTACTGCATATGGCAGCGCACGCCAGATTACACAAAGAACTCCCACACAAAGGGACGATGCAAGCGCTGAACTTCAACTCGGTGCTTATGTCGTCCCTTTGTGCGTGTCGTCCCTTTGTGTAACCTGGCGTGCGCTGCCATATGCAGTAGTGGGTAAATCGATAGACAATCGGGCTGAGCTTAGCTTTCTGTGGAAGCTCCACACGTCAAGCTATCAAATGAGTATAAAACATCGTACATTTACACATGCTCTGATGCTGTCCTCAAAGGACATCATTACTTTTGATAGGCAAGTGTCCTGAAATATCTCACATTCGTAGCATGTAAGTAGACTATAAGCAAATGGAAATATGCTGAACAGAACAGCTGCTTAAATAAAACAACAACCTCTGATGGGGCTTATTTAATCCCTGCATAATGCCCTCCTGTTGATCTGTCAGTAAACAGAACTCCTGCTAAATGAAACATATTTTTCTGGCCTCTTCAGGTTCCGTTTAATGAGAGTCTACTGTACATAATTTCTGCCGGGAAATCTTATCGTGACTGTGTTAACTCAAACAAGCCCCCCCCCCCCTACATTGCCTGTATAACATTCGTCAATTCGAGGGGTTCTAGCTCAGTGTTATTTCACAGCAGTTTTAGTAAAGATCATGCATCACCGAACCACAGTAAACTGAAATGTTGATGTGGACAGATTAGTCAGAGCCACCACAGTTAACGCCCGTCCTACACTTCATCTTTTTCGTAACAAGTTTGCTTTCTTATATACATTGCTGATGCTTACTCTGTGTTAAAAAAATATGAACAAACTTTTCATTTAGCCCACCTACTGAAGCTCCCTATATGCTGTTTAACCATGGGGGCTTTCATGCACTTGAAGTTACAAACGATATCTTCATAGATGAGGAATTCAAGCCCTGTAATGCATACCAATCTTAGGCGGCCCGGTTCCGAAAAACCCGCGGCGCCCGAGCACGACGCCACAGCCACAGCTGGAGTGCAGCGAGTTCCGTCATCGCTCGAACAGCAATCGTCGGTGAGCTCACTTGAGGAGTCACAGTCGTTCGAATCTGCAGGGATGTACGAGGCAAACAAAAGCACAGTTATTTTTTAAATTTGCTTTAGTGCCTTAAGCACCCTTATCAGCATTAAAAAGTAATGAAAATTAATTAACTACATGCAATGATCTTCTGTAGGATAGAGTTAGCATCACCTGAAGAAACAATGAGACAAATAATAAACAGAATAGATGCTACAGATAACCAAGTTGACGTGCAAACACTCCTTGGCTAGATGAAGCTGATGTAGACGTAAATATATGTACATTTTGGAATCTAAACTGCACTACAGTTTGAAATATGATGAATGCCACATGCATGAAAGACAAAAGTGACGGACACGCAACAAGGCATTAGAACAAGCGAAATGACGTGTATTTTTCTGGCGTTATCGACCTGCAGCAATATGTGATATGAGCTGCCATTGCTATAGCTATAAATTAGAGCTGCTTGCAAGCTTCTCACGCACAACTTAAGACATTACTGTATGCGTAATGTACACATTACGGTGCATACGAAGAAATTGAAAAAGCTAATGACAAGAATCAGTGGGGTTTGCATCAAAAGAAGTCTTTTGGCACAAGCTGTGCCTTCTCCACGAAGATTTCATTGACCGTCCTGCCTTGAGGAGGTAAGGAGCACAGGTTCTGCAACAAGGTAGTGGTTAAAAAAAGAAAATAGGAACTTCGTATTGAGGTGCTCACCGCACTCAGAAAGTGCTCGGCTTGGCTTCAGGGCGTTTGCGCGTCGCAGGGCAACCTCCACCAAACCGTTTTCTCCTTTTTTCTTGGCAACGTTGTGTAGGTCCTGAAAAAGTGAAATCAATGAAGTGAGACATGAACACTTGTGAACATAGCTAAAACCTCCATATAATGAACTTTTGCACAGACATACTCTAATATAACAAACACTAACGTAAAGACTTATAGGATATAACCAAATATATCAACAGCAGTGCACACATGTAAATTTATAGCAAACATTATACAAAATAAAGCTATCCTAGTGTCACACACAACCATGTTTCAACGCAAAAGCGCTCAAGAGCTCGGGTTGCAGAAATTCCAATTCCACGTTGTTGGTAGTGACTAAAATATCGCCAAATGGAAATAATAAAAAATCATGTATCCTAGAAGCTGAACACAAGTCTTTGGCGTGGCAAGCCGGTGTTTTACCACAGAGCTACACCAGTGCTGCACTGAAAGTGTTTTTCATGCTTCAGAAACATATGCATCCTGTGTGCATATGTCACAGTGTGAGCTGTAACACTGCAGAAAAAAAGTGGTGCAAGTGTATATTGCCATTGGGCATAATTGCACAACAAGTTGTTGGTTTAAAGCCGGCCATTCATTACAAAAGGCTCTCACATTACTGTGAATATTCCCCAGCTTGGGACTCTTACAGGGAGGTTTGTACCCAAATTCGGCTTTTATTTCAGAAACTTTATCCCTGTACTTGCACTAACAGGTTGTGCCTCGATTGTGGGGAAGTAGCTAGTTTAGAGCATTTGCTCACAGTGTGATGCCCTTTGTTACTGGGCAGCGATGAAGCCAACCAAGTCAAGTGCAGCTCCGTCATCATAAGCGCCAACAAGAATGATCAGCTCTGGGCCATCCAGATAGCCCACAATGCAGCGTCAGGCTTAGTCTGCTAATCCCAATGAGGCCTACTGCCAGATAGTAGAGCCTCTTGGGACTCTAAATCAAGTTTGACCAGTCATCCATCCCTAATGAACCTGTAGTGGGTGCAAGCAACATTGAAAAAGCATCGCGCGCATACTTGCTGCTGGTTTGAAGCCTGAAACTCGACTCGTTTCATGGCTAGTCCCCCATGATGGGTCGCACCAGGTAAAAGGGTCCATCAATCAATTGATCAACTCTACTGCGTTTTGTGGACCTCCCAAACAGCCCGAAGTTGGTCTTCCAGTAAAAGCACGCCGCTCATTTCAAAGGGTGCACATATTAGTAGATGCTTTCTCTTACGCAGACATAGTTGGTACAGTGTTGCCATAGGTGCCCTTGAAGAAGGTGGACACCTTTACCTTTAGGTATGTCATGTGTAGGTACGCATGTAGCTAGCTGGGCAACTAAACATAACGACAAACAAAAAAAAGCGCGATGAGGACAGGGCTAGACGTTGCTATCACGATCAACTCTTGAAGGCTGATTCCCCAAATTTCGACTCTTTAATGAAATCTTCAATCTAGACAGGATACAGATTTTTATATGTTTGAGTTCAATATAACAAGGCAAGCTTATTTGATCACCAGAAAAGCAGCCCCAAACAGCCTGAAAAATGCTAATTTATCTTATATCAACACAGTCTTGTAATACTACTTCAATGTGTTAAAATTTTACTGCTGCTGTTAATGAGGATTGAGACAATAAATAAAAAGAATTTTCAGTACCAGTTAATAACGTTTGAATAACACGAGTTTTTTTGGCAGACAAATTTCCTCTTGAAGATCAACGATGTTGTGCTGGTTGGCAACACACCAAGATAAAAATACACGGCAGTTCTTTCCTCCTAACCAGTTCAATTGTCACCCTGCCCCTCTCCCACGTGGTGAGGGAGTTGAGTGGGCAAGAGGAGAATCGAAGAGGTTACGAAAGGAGTAGTTCCCGTCTTTTTCGCTTGGTTTGATGGCGGCCACCACAGCTCGTTCCAACAATGTGATACGAACACACCCCACACCAGGAAACACGGACTTACCATGAAGAGATCCCAGTACCCCAAGTCAACTGCCAGAAGAAAAGCTTTTTCCAGCCTGTCAAACCTAAAATGTGTGACGATTTACAACAAGATACCACACACACAAATGCACAAGTGTGTCATAAAATGACTACAAGAAAACTAGTATATACAAGCTGGACGGCAGAGGGAAACTCGGAAGATTAACACTATGATTGCATTGTCTATGATGCAGTGTGGAACACAGCTGCAGTCGGCTTGAGTGAGGTGAAAAAGTGGGTTTGTCAGTATGATATACTAGTAGCAAAGCAGAAAAAACACACAAGAGCAGTTAAATATGGCTAAAACTTATGCTCTTTTTTGTGCATTTTTGTTAGTGCTTTGCTCGCACTATGGGCCTAGATATAGTCCAGCGAAGCATGCACGTGTGATGCGGTTAAGCTAAACTGGCAAAAAGTGGAGAATCCTGGCGTCATGGCGTAGCCGGAGCGCCCAGCGACATTCAGCATGCTTTGTGCGGCCATCGCAGAGATAGAGCATGTTCCTAATTCTTGTGCTCCACGCGGCTAGCATTGGACCACAATGCGCCAGTGGGCATCGGCAAAATGGCTGCTTGTGGGCTGTGTTTGGAAAGCGTGGCAGTGGTCAACTTAGCATTGATCGATGACCCCATGATTCTGTGTCCGCTCGAAGGGATTATAGATCCCTTGCACGAGTTAATCGCTGACACGGAGAGACAAAAAGAAACGCTTTGGAAGCCTTCGGAAGGCGCTATCATAAGTATACAACATAATCTTCTTTCATCTCTAATGCAACCTTTGTACCTATTTTCTCGCTCCCAGATTCTTTAAAGCAATGCTTGTGAGGGGTAACGTTTCCGATGCAAAGTTAAACAGTGCAGAGAGTGAGAAAAAACGAGCGCATGAACCAAAAAGCATGAATAGCGAAGCTGAGAGCGAAAAAATTGTCTGCGCATGTAGCGAATAACGCGGAGCCACAGAGTAATTCGACGAAGAGAGTCTGGATGTGCTACTACGAAGCTACTCATTGCGGCACGGTGTGTACACTGAACTACAGAGTGAGGAAAGGGTTGCCTTCACCGCAGTGCACCAAGCATACCCAACCTCAGGGTTCGAGACCTGATGCGCTGACCACGTTGGACGTATATCTAGTCCTTAAGTGAACAAACATTGGAAGCGCACAGACCCAACTCTACGATCTTTTCTAAATTCACACATAAACGTGTTCCAACACTAAATGTAACTCATTATGCTACTGTGCAGCAGCGGTGCAACTGCAAGCAGATGCATTTACAGTGTGAGCGTGCAAACACTGCCACCACCATAAAAGTATATGGGACAGCCGGTGCAAGTCCGCATTCATGATTCGGTGCAAAGTGCATTCGATGCCTGATAACACTATGGAAAGCAGTGTCCATTCCGAGTGAGCAGTTTGGGACATCAGGTCACGACACACAAAACGACACGAACAAGCGCAACAGCAAGTGCTTCTTCCGCGACACTTTGCGGTGCTCTCTTGAACAGTGCTCAGTTTGCCGACCCATATATGAGTTCCAGTGCGTAGGGCAAGAATACACGCAAATCTTGATTTAACTAACTCGTATAAAACGAAATATTGGTTACAACACGGTAAATGAAAAACAGTCTTGCGATAGATTTGGGGTTAGGAATATACCTATCATAACAACCTTTCGAATACTACAAACTTTTTTCGTGCAAGATGCAACTTTGTTATTATGAGGTTTCAGTGTTTATGGATGAAGGATATGGTTTGGCAAACCTGCTTTGAACTGCTATGCTTGAACAGTCTATTTGGTAATAAAACAAAAAAGCACAGCATCGCACTAAAAGTCTAATAAAAACATTGATTCAAAACCTTTATGGACCCAAGTTCACAGCCCATCTATGAGGAGTGCCACAATGGCACAGTACCCAGATAAGAATGTTGGAGGGAGAGAAGTATAGCAGTAAAATCTAACCAACTAAAGCTCTCTATTCTGAATCAAAAGTTCAATAGCTGAGTGCCTCTACATATCATCTCCATCATAAAGCATTTATAACTGCAAGTCACTGAACCTCCAACCTAAAAAGTTTGTAGACATACAAACATGTTCCGTGCTCATATCATATCAAAGGTCATGAAAACTAAAGAAATGATATCACCGTGATGAAGCAATGGACATGCTTTTTTTTTGTGAATGTGCTTGTGTGGGAAGAAGCCATGCAGCCATACCCGAAAGAGGTTAGGATCACTCCAAGAGTTTGTAGCGCCATGCTCTGTCAGTCAAGCAGGGAAGAAGGAAGTGAATCATCGTAAAAATCAGTAAACAACAACTGGTGGTTTTAAAGTTGACACATTTAAACATTTCCGATTTATAATAAAATGCTATAACACATTCTGAAACCACAAGTGTACATACCAAATAGCCCTCAGATTCATGACGAGGAAACTTGACTAAGGTACACATTTAATAATCTCTTGCACACTTAAAACTTTAAAAATATAATTTGTGATATCATAGGCCGTAATAATTAGCTTGATTACACTATGCTAATTAGAACACTATGTCGTCATGCTGATCAGGCTAGGTTTTTAGAATTCCTGCAACAATAATGTACCAATGACGTCCTAAGGAGAACAACACCTAGTGGTAAGCGGCATTACAAATGCTTCTCAACAAGTCAACGTGCAATGGGAAACATGCAAAAAAAGCAAACACTACACTGTAAAACAAAGATGACGAATCTGGAATAATTATTTTTGTATTTCTACAATGTTGCTCAGCATGGTGAATTGTCCCTCTTGACAGACTTGGAAACAAGCGCGCCTGTTCCTGCATTGATTATTCCCTTCAGCGGCCACGTGTACAATTATACACATAAACTTAGGAGGCGCATCACGCAGTGCGTGTTTTTTCAAATGGCTTGAAACGGGGTGTGCACATTGGCGCAGGCTTTCTAAGTGGACAACTAGCAGTCATTAAACTTCATTCTGCTCCATATTAATGCAAAGAATCGCTTTGCTGGAGACACCAATCAGGTTCTACGAACATTCGATGTGCCGTGTTCCAAAACCAACGTCAACAGTATTCTTTTTTTTATCCGCTCAAAGTGAATACAACCAAAAAACAAACTGTGCCCATATTTTGATATAATATTCGATTATTTTCGTATGAAGATTGAAGCTGTATAACTTCAGAATAATCAAATACCTAATGTGCTAATTAAAATTAATTACTGAATATAACAAAGAACACCATATTCCTTCATTTTCTTTTTTAGAATGTAATACTAAGTGCCTTGGAATCACGTCATGTCAATTTTACGTATTTCCAAATGTGCATCAGAATTGGTGCCCGAAGGGGTTATAATCCATGATCTATGTAGCAACAAGTGAAAAATAAAGCATTGCTCATTCTTACTACATTAATATATGCTTTGCGATTGAGTGTCTCTAAGTAATACTGATATTTGTTCATGTACAACTTTTTCACCCTTTTTTCTGCCTTCTTTCCATCCACTGTGCCGTAACAGTGAGCATACAGGTGGCTATAAAGTGTCTGTAGCTGGAAGCCTACCACATGGTTTTCACAACAGCTTCTCGACAGTTTCAAGTTATGGCTGCCTTCAGTGAATAAAGTCGAAGCAATGGTAGTTCACAATATACACCTATAGTTGTTTACAACCTAAGAATAAATAAAAGCTCTTCTTACAAAACTATGGTGGCGCACTAGTCAATATGCAAAACAGTCGTCAAAACTAGTTTCTTTAGAACCGTCAGTACTTTTTCTGCGCTCATGTAAATAAACTCAAACCTCATTATAATTAACATGTATATAACGAATTGTCAGTCATAATAAAAGAAGTGAATATCAGTTTTGTGATAAATGCAGTACTAAAATATATGTTTATAACAAATTTTCGGATATAACGAGGTATTTTTGTGGCAGGTGTGACGTTATGATGAGGTTTGAGTGTACCCTGCATATACAGTGCAGACCACTTATAACGTAACCGCGTTTAGCACGGGACCAGTTATTACGTGGGTTTTACAGTGAAAGCTGTTATAAGATCCCAACTTAAGTCACGCGCAGTTGTACGCCACCGCCGGTCTCTGTAACATCGTGCAGAATTAGAAAAAAAAAACCTAGCCCCAAAGACACAGTGGGGCTCAAAACCCAGGTCTGCTGGGTGCCAGCCCAGTATTCGACCACTGAGCTACGCTGGTGCTTATGACTTGTTGGCAAACTTGCCTCTTGATGTTGGGAAAGCAATCGCATTATTATGACTTATAAAGCATTTTAAAACAGCGAAAGAACTAGTCGTCGCACAATGCGAGTAGCGTAACGAGTGGGTCATCCAATGCTCTAACCCATTACAAAAGCTAGTTCTTGTTCCACTATTAACTGTGGCTCATACCCACTTCAGCCATAATTCCTCATCGTTGTCAGCCACTGCATGAACAATTGGCTTAAAATTCTTTGCAAGTGTTTAGCGGATACCACGCTTCTCAGAAGAATGACAAGAAATAGCAGAGCGAATGCCGGCCTACTACCCAAACAAATTTATTAAATATGACCTAGTGGGTATCAAGCAAGTGTGCTTGCAGTAGTTACCCAATGAGTGTTTTGAAAAGTCTCTGAAAGGCCGCTCTGCTAGCTTTCACTGTGACTGTGCTGCGCCTTTTGTGCAGGCCTGGCGTATCGTTTTTTCTGACCACCGATATGTTGCCCATAGAAAATGTATAGGCAGACCGTTTATTGCATAGACGCACGAAGGAAAATACCAGTTATAACACAGACATCTTACGCGCCCGCAACCATAAAATCGGCAAACAGAGCCTACTTTCCCGCTGTGCTGGCATGTTCGAGGAGAGAGTAGACGGGTGCTGCGATCATTCAGCGACCATGGGAATAATGGCCAGTACACAGACTTGCCCGGTCTTTGTGCTTGCGGGCTTCAAATGCACTTGTGGCCTTGTTTATTGTTGTGTTCTGGTTTTGTTTTGAATAAAAGAACCAACCATTGTAAACTTTGCAAGCCGATTTGAATAGGTGAGACTAAAAATGTCGAGGTGGCAAAGAGAAACTGCCGAACGTTTGCAGGTTGTTGTTTCGTGACAGAGAACTCCAAGCCACGTGAAGCCAAACGGAGCCGAAAGTACGAATATTAGACAAATTTGTCTACTACCAATTATTCCCGTGCTCAATGAAGCGCCGTGCGTTGCAGCTCCCATGTACACTAGCGGCAGAGTTCCTGGAGTATTTGTAGAAAACTCTATTCTTCTTCAGATCACGCATAATGAAGCAACAAAACGCACATGTGAATCAACTGGAAAATAAATTTTCGAGCACTGCGCAACCACGTAACGCTGGGGCTGTGCTCCGCTGTCGGGCAGGGATCGACAACAGACCCCAAAGGGTTGAACACAGTTGACATTCCAAGGTATCTCTTTACACTGCTGGCTGAAACTGCATGCATAAAACACTGCAGTATGACTACGAAATCACTTTATGCATCACACCTCAAGAGATGATGAAAGAATCGCCTTGCCAGGTGGCTGATGCGAACGCCATATTCGGCAACAACCGAGTCCGGTATTGGCTGAGCAGGACCATAGAAGCTTCCCAGCGCTGTCTCCAGCTGAACTGCAAGGTATTTACTTGTATTTACCAATGGTTTTTATAAACTTCCGATCAGAGCGGAAAAATAAACAAGTGTTTCATCAACACATTTTGGAACTGCGCAGCATAAAATAGCCCAAAAAAACACTTGATGCACGTCACTGCAGATCTGCTGATACTTATTCCTGCTCACTGTGCAAGCTGAAGTAATGGTTATGCTTTTAAAAGTTAGTGCATCTCTTCAAACTGCAGGTTAATAGTGAAGCACGTAACAATGCACAACTTTAAACTTTTTTTTTTACTTATGAGGGGTGTGAACCACCAGAAAAATTAAAGCTATATGCATTAAAAGCAGAACAATTGAATGCACCTAAATTGTATGGCACTTATTAACAATGCATTTACCCCTCTAGTTGAGTAATAACAACTTCAAGTGGCGGCCAGACTACAGACCTTCGCGTTTAGAATCCAGGGGCTGTCGAAGCAGGTAGTTGACTATCTTGCCGAGGCACAGGAAGGTCAGCTCTGCAACACGGCCCCAGTCAAGGCTCAACAGGAGGTGAACGGCCTGAAACGTTCACAAGGCCACAGAACAAACAGCGCACGCTGATAACGAAAAGCTCTGCAACCCTTATTTAGCGTAGAATGCAACGTATAAATATGCATTCATGACAAACATTCTTCAGTTAGCTGAGCCAACCATAGTAAGACCTTGTCGAACCTCACTGATACATACTTTGTTCATTTCTGGCACTTCTGCTATGATATACTACTTCCATTTCAGACTTGTATTGGGTAAGTTTAATGAAATCCCACAATTTCACTGATCATGCATTATTTTTTGTGTTACCAAAGCTATGTGCTAGTTCTTGCCCTCAAAAAAAATTAAAAGAAGTTCTTCCATTCCACAGGGGACATACTCTAATTTCTTGCACATAATCCACCTAAACTATAAGAAGGTTTGGAGGGTTATATAACACCAGATAACACCGGAAGGTGTGACAATGGGTACATAAAAAAACCCGTTCTATCAATGATCAGATTACCGATGACTGTGATCGCCGCCATCAGTTTGCAGCGTGAATCGCTTGTACTTCGAGTTTGTTTTCTGGGCACAGGTTCATCCAATGAAGCATTTTGCCTTGGCCAGTGCGACTGCCGCATTCTTCACAGTTGCTACTACCATGCGACAGTATTCATACTTTTGGATTGTGACACACCGAACGCCTACCTAGCTTACACAATTTTTAATCTAATAAAGCCCCATGTTCCCATTTGCTGCTTTAAGGGTAACGAAAGAGCAAAACGATTTTTGCACTTATTAGTAAAGTACAGTTTCACAATCCCGAAAACACCACTCTTACCATGAGATGACACGAGTAAGGGAGAAAACGTGGGTGGAGATGCCACGTTGAGATTCCCGCACCAAACACCGCGACGTAATTGAATTAGGAGACAACTACTGGATCCGACATAACTTCTGGTAAAAATGAGGTACACTGTCATCTGTGGGTGCCAAAGACCCAGAATATGAAGTTTCAAAAAACTTCATCGAGCATGAAATACGCATGAAAATGCCATGAAAATACGAAAAATATTTAAATATTTTTTACGACGCATGTGGAGATTGAGGCACGAGATCTAAAAATGAAACTTCAACCTTGATTTTTTCTGCTGCTAACGAACTTAAGCAAGTGAGACATGTAGTCTTAAGAAAGTGAAACATGTAGCATTAGAGTTTTCCAAGTGCAGTTTGTCAGTCCAAATAAAGTCATTATTTTTATTTCCTGACCCTTTAAGAGGACTGCACTAACACTCTCTAGTTAGGAAGTGATGAAGGTGCGAGCGAATAAACTGAGGGATTTCTCCACAATGGCAATTAATTACAAACAAGCTACGGTCCATAGTAAACACCTATCAACATACCTCATCAATCTGCAGGTGCTTCAAGTATTCTGATACAAGCTCAAGTGGTCCCAGCTGCCCTCTGGTGAGCAGGCCGAGTGGTAACTTGAGGATGGCCAGAGGGCCACTGCAGCGGAGAAAAAGACGCAGCTCGAGATTAATAATTAACAAATGCCAATGTTTTACGTGCCATAACCCCCATATGACTGTTGTGCCAGCCACAGCAGGGTACACTCAAACCTCAAAACAATGAACCCGGATTTAACGAAATATTGGTTATAACAAAATAAACGAAGAATCGTCTTGCAATAGATATAGTGTTAAGAAATTTACCTTTATAACGAATTTTTTTAGATTCATGTAATATGTAAGTTTGTTATGAGAATATTTTGTATTAATATTTGAGCGTCTAGCATTTCTTAAAGGGAAAGAAACCAAAATGCAAAAGTGTCCGTGGTGCACATTAACGTAAACTACAGGCTACAGGTAGTCAAAATTTATTAGAGTCCACTAGTACAGCGAACCTTATTATCGTATCTCCCAATAACCCTGAATTTAACGTACTTAATAGCCCCCACATCAAAGACTGAGAAAAACTAAGCGCCGGGTGAGTTGGTAATAGTTACTACAAAAAAAATTTTTAAAATACACTAAGAGCGAGAAAGGAACACAACAGGGGTAGAACGGCGACCGAAGATTTATGGTCAGAAACACGTATAAATATGATAACACAAAGAGAAAATGTGAAAGCTCACAGACTGACGGCTTTTCTGCATTGTTGATAGACTTGAGAGCGTCGGCCAAGATGTTCATGCGCAAAGATATCTAGCTTAGACAGCATCATAAATGACATTGCCACTGTTACTGGGCTTATGAATGAACAAGCGCTCAGCAATTCCTCATTCAGTCCGATCTTCTAGCCTGCACCGGCCCACCTAGATAGAGAAGATTGAAGATTATAATGTAGATGGTATTCGATGTTCTGGGTTTGCTAGTCTGTGCCCATCATTCATTCCTCTCTCCCCCTTGTGTTTCTTGTACAGTTGGCCATAAGAGGTCTAGCTAGAGCCCTCCAGCAGTCTTGAGAGACTAGTCCAAAACTACTACTACTACTACTACTACTACTACTACTACTACTACTACTACTACTACTACTACTACTACTACTACTACTACTACTACTGTAATGGGGTTTATTAGCAGCGCAGAACGCAGAAAGCGAAGCAGTCAGCAGCGTCCGGCCAAGCGCAGCAAGCACGAGCTTATACTGATGGCGATGCCCCTGATGCGCCGAGAAATGCCGCTGAAGCTCTTCTTCTTCACTACAATCGCCCTCCGCACAAAAAGACGCCATCCTGGCGGATTAGGGAGAAGAAACGACTAATGGGTCGTAATATGGCTTGAGACGAGAGACGTGGACAGTGTCGCGGCCGCGGTAGCGTAGGTCTGTGGATGGGATGATGGGCTCCACGATATAGTTGACGAGTGACATTTGCTCTACAACGCGGTATGGCCCGATGTATTTGGGAAGAAGTTTTGCGGAGCGGCCAGGCGCGGTAGCAGGTGCCCGAAGCCATACTAATGAACCAGGTGGAAAGTTTGGAGCCGAACGGTCCCCAGTCTGGCGGGATTGCTGCTGCCACTGGTCCTCGGTAGAAAAAGAGCGGGCAAGCTGGCGGCATTCTTCAGCATGTCGGGCAGCTTCGGACAGAGTTGTACTTTCGGACTCATAAGGTTTATATGGAAGAATAGTGTCTACTGTATTTGAAGGTTCTCGTCCGTACAAAAGAAAGTATGGCGAAAACCCAGTAGTAGCTTGTACGGCAGTATTATACGCGTAGGTGACGAACGGGAGAACTTGGTCCCAATTTGAATGATCAGAGGCGACGTACATCGACAGCATACTGCCAAGAGTACGGTTGAAGCGCTCCGTCATGCCATTTGTTTGAGGGTGGTACGCTGTACTTGTGCGGTGCACGATTCGGCATTCGTTGAGTAATGCCTTCAAGGCGTCAGAAAGGAAGGCACGGCCTCTGTCACTTAAGAGCTCGCGAGGGGCACCATGACGCAGAATGAAACGTTGCAACAGAAATGTTCCAACGTCACGGGCTGTGGCAGTCGGCAGCGCGGCTGTTTCGGCATAGCGTGTCAGATGGTCTATCGCAACAATTATCCAGCGATTACCAGCTAGAGTTGATGGTAGTGGTCCGTAAATGTCAATGCCGACGCGATCAAAAGGTCGACTAGGACAAGGAAGAGGTTGTGACGGGTAGACTTGCCCGGGAGGTAACTTTTGTCGTTGGCACTGAGCACACGAGCGAATGAACTTTCGCACGTAGTTATACATGCCACGCCAATAATATCTGAGTCGAAGCCTAGCGTATGTCTTGAAGAGGCCTGCGTGGGCGCACTGTGGGTCCGCGTGAAAAGCTTCGCAGATGGCAGCTCGAAGATGGCGGGGTATCACAAGGAGACACTTGCGACCGTCAGAAAGGTAGTTGCGTCGATAAAGAAGATCATCCCTTAGGCAAAAGTTGCTAGCCTGGCGGCGGAGAGCGCGAGACGGCGAAGGAGTGAGAGGATCAGAAAGAATGCTTATGAGGCCACTGATCCAGGGATCCTTTCGTTGTTCCACCGTCATGTTGCGCAAGGCGGATGACGCAAGTGCAGGCTCGAGGGAAGAGAGGCAAACACCTTCATCCGATATGGGTGAGCGAGAAAGGGCATCGGCGTCCGTGTGCTTACGACCAGATCTGTAAATAACGCGGATGTCGTATTCCTGAAGTTTGAGCGCCCAGCGAGCAAGTCGTCCGGAAGGGTCTTTAAGTGTGGATAGCCAACAAAGGGCGTGGTGGTCAGTGACGACGTCGAATGCGTGACCATGCAGGTAGGGGCGAAATTTTCTAAGGGCCCAAATAATAGCTAAACACTCTTTCTCGGTCACGGAGTAGTTAGCCTCGGCTTTCGTCAAAGTACGGCTTGCGTAGGCGACGACATATTCATCAAACCCTGCCTTTCGTTGCGCGAGCACAGCGCCAAGTCCAACACCGCTGGCATCAATATGAACCTCCGTGGGAGCGGCAGGATCGTAGTGGCAGAGGATGGGTGGTGAAGTCAACAGGTGGCGTAATTTGGTGAATGCATCGTCGCATGCTGGTGACCAGGTGGAAAGGTCCTTGTCGCCGCTAAGAAGGTCCGTAAGGGGCGCACATATGGAAGCAAAATTTCTAATAAAGCGTCGGAAGTATGACGACAAGCCGACAAAACTTCTAAGTTCCTTCAAGTTCTTTGGCTTCGGAAAATCGGCGACTGCTCGAAGCTTGGCGGGGTCGGGAAGTATGCCGTCCCGCGATACGACGTGGCCAAGAATGGTGAGCTGCCGAGCACCAAAACGACACTTCTTGAGGTTGAGTTAAAGGCCGGCGTCGGTGAGATGTGTGAGGACGTGCTCGAGACGATTTAAATGGGTGTCGAAATCGGTGGAAAAGACAACTACGTCATCGAGGTAGCATAAACATGTGTTCCACTTGAGGCCTCGTAAAATAGCGTCCATCATTCTTTCAAAAGTGGCTGGAGCGTTACAAAGGCCGAAAGGCATAACGGTAAACTCGTATAACCCATCAGGTGTGACAAATGCTGTTTTCGGTCGGTCAGATGCTTCCATAGGAACTTGCCAGTATCCAGACCGTAAATCCAGCGAAGAGAAGTATTCTGCTCCCTGCAAACAGTCAAGGGCGTCGTCTATTCGAGGTAACGGATAAACGTCCTTGCGGGTGATCTTGTTTAAACGTCGATAGTCCACACAGAACCGAATGAAGCCGTCCTTCTTTTTAACAAGAACGACCGGTGACGCCCAGGGACTGTTAGAACGCTGTACAATACCCCGCTGGAGCATGTCAGCAACCTGGTCGTCAATAACACGGCGCTCCGACGCTGAGACTCGGTAGGGGCGCTGCCGTAGAGGCGTATGGCTTCCTGTGTCACTCTTGTGAGATATGTTCGATGTGCGACTGAGGCCAGAAGCGTGGCTGTCAAAAGAAGTACGAAACTTTTGGAGCAGGTTCACTAACTGGCTTCGTTCTGACGAAGACGTTGCGACATCGATGGAGCGGTGGAAAGCGTCAAGGAGTGACTGGTCAACAACAGAGTCAGAAATGAGTGCGCTGATGTCCGTAGAAAGTAAACTAGATGGAGCGTCAAAAATGTGACGGGCGTCGATCGGATGCACGTGACCGAGACATTCACCATAGAATAAAGGTAAAGGCCCTTCTAGCGTATTGTACACGTGCGTCTTCGTGACGCCATGGTGGAGAGTAAGGAGAGCAATGGGCAGTGGAGAACATTTGCGTTGAATGAACAGGGCAGAGGGCGTAAATAAAACATCACCGTCGGAAATAGCGTCACACGACACAGTTACCAGCAGACAAGAACGCGGTGGTACGGTGGTGTCGTCGGAAACAAACAGTTTATAACACGGCAGGGAGGCTTCGACAGCGTCAACATCAGGAAGTGCAGATAGCTCAAGTTCAGCGCGACAGCAGTGAATGACGGCATTATTATTCGCAAAGAAGTCCCAGCCGAGTATCATGTCATGGGAACACGAGGGCAGCACTACGAATTCGACGATATACACAATCCTTTCGATGACGACTCGTGTGGTGCAGGCTGCGAAAGGTGTTACACTTTCTGCGTTAGCCGTTCTAAGAGAGAGGCCGGATAATGGCGTCAGAACTTTGCGGAGTTTGCGGCACAGGTTCATGGACAGGACGGATAGAGCGGCTCCGGTGTCAACAAGCGCCATGACGACGATACCATCGACTGACACTTCAATGACGTTAGCTGGACAGGGGCGAGGACTTGTGCATGGCGACGGGGACGCAGTTCGTGCCTCGGGAACTGCGGCCGTTAGTTTTCCTGGTCGGTGGGTCCGGAACGGCGACGCATAGGGGAAAGCGAACGTCGACGTGGAGATGGGAAGCGGCGGGTCGGGCCGTGTGGACGATCAGAAGGAAAGGAAGAGGAAGGAGGGCTTGAAGGCGTAGACGAAAACTGAGGGTCGAAAGAGGGCATTCGTCGAATGTTCTGGGCAGCCTGGCGACGACGACAATAACGTGCCACGTGGCCAAC